ATAATAATTACTCGCATTTATTGACATTACACGTAAATTATAAGATTTATTGGAAAGTAAAATATAAAGCCAATAACAAAAATAAGTAATAAATTCATGAATATCTGTTGATGGGTAAAATATTACATAGTTGTAACGCATAATTTTTTCAATAAAGTTTTGAATTTTTTTTTTTTCGTTATAGTTTTTAAGAGTAGATAGTTTTAGAAATAAAACATTGTGGAAGCATTGTTGAATATTAATAAAGAATTGTCCATATATTTTTTTTTGTTTTTTGATGCTAATTTTATGAATATGTTCAAGAATAAATATTAGAAATTCAAGAAGATGTTCACATATGAAAAAATGACCTAAAGAATCAAAATTAATGCATGTTAAAAGTTGTAATACCTTTAAGAGCACAATTGAGACAATCTTTTGAAAAAATACAAATATTTGAAAGTACTGATATTTCATTAAGTTTATCTAATTGACTTTGAATAATTTTGTGCAGTTTTATTAAAGTAGTATATAATATATATGATTCAATATAAATTTGATTTCCAAAAAAACATAATGGTATCTATTTGTTTTGTAAATGTCTATGAGTAGAAATTCATATTTATATTATACCTGAATGTTGAGTTTTAGAACATATTTTTTTGATGAGATAATAATACTATCTATAACATTAGTGACAAGTAATTGAAGTAATATTTCATATATTGATGCAATATTATATTCGTAATCTAATTCGGACGACTTTAATAATTTTGATTTAAAAGTAGATGATTTGTTTTTTTTTGTTATTGTGGATTTTAGATATATTAATGATATATTTTTATCTGAAATAGTTTCTATAAAGCATTTTGAAAAAGAATTGTTAATAGTATCTAATTTCCATAAGGTTGGAATATGGTCGTTTTCGAAAGGTAATGTATCAATAATGATATTTTTGCTTGAAATATGAAATGAATTTCTTGAATTAAGGATAGCTTTTGTTCCGATATGATCTTTTGTGAATATTAAAGGACAAACAATATAAAGGAGTTTTTCTATGAAGTAAGGTGACAATATATGCTCCTTAAAACACCTAATTGACAAATACATATTTTTTATAAATCTTATAACATAAAGAAGTATATCAAAGCCTTCATAATAGTTAGTTTTTTTGAAATTGTGAATATGATTATGTTTAAAATTATTTTTATTTATTTTACTATAAATTGCGCTTAAAGAATTTGAACGTCTTCGTGTAACATTTATAGATGAAAAATAAATACTCATGTCATCTTTTGTAGAATTGATATATGTTTGAAATAATTTTAAATTATGTGCTCCTGATTCGAGCATTGCAAGAATTACATCATACATTTCAAAACAATATATTTCTGTAACATTTTTGTTTTTGTTTAATAAGAGTCGTAAGAATTCATCAAAATTCTTAATGTCTGTATTTCCTTTAATATTTAAAATGTCGGTTCCAAAAAAAAGACAAAAAGCAATTTTCCAAATATTAATATTATTCCACCATTTTTTTAAGTATAATTTTATAAGAAGGAAATAATGAGTTTTTGGTAAGAATTTAGATATATAGCTGGTGCCTTTTAGTATCATTAGTTGAGAAATGATTTTGAAGCTACATATAACACATCTAGAATCCTTATTTGATAGTAATAGTAATAACCACTAATAGCATTAATATTTTAGTACTAATAATAATTGTATACTTTGGCTGTAATCACTTTTGAAAATTTTTCTATAAAAGATCTATTTTGGGTGTTGCATAGAATATCTGAAAGCATTTCAAGAATGTAAATAGCCTTTTTATATAATGGAGAATTGTGATTTAAGTCTTTCTTATTGAGACTATTAGGGCCTATTTTATCTTTAAATAAGTGTGAAATTGAAGGTTCTGTAGTTTTATGTTTAGTTTTCATAGGTTCTTAAATATTATTTAGAAATTTTTAGTGAAATAATATTTATACCTTTATATAAAGCGTAAATTATATATGTAAGAAGCATTTTTATTATTTTGGGTGTAAAATAAATTTCTATTAATGTTTTGAAAGTAATTAAAAATAAAGGAAAGATATTTTCGGAAATATAATCCAATTTCAAGATCATAATAATTCTTTTTATTATATCTATAGTAAAATTAGCCAAATTTTTTTTTTGATAACTTACGCATTTTATCAAGACATTTTATATTAAATTTTGCATAAGAACTTTTTAAAACTAATGATAAAAAATGCTGCATATACAGTTTTATGGTTTTTTCATCCGCTTTTTTCCATATTTCAAAGTCTAGAATTAAAAATTTATATGCTAAAGGATTTAGAATTATAGAATTTCTATTAATAAGTTATATAAATTTGACAATAAATGTAATAATACTTAGAATCTAATTCTTTACAGCCTATAAATATTAAAATAGAATTGAGGAGACAAATATTATGTATATTTTCTTTATTCTTCAGTATTTTTGCAAGAATTTCATACCCGTGATTTTTTTCCATATGCTCTAAATTTCTTCTATTGTTTTTGATAAAAGAAAATGTAAGTTTAGTAGCACAAATCACATCATTTGGTGTTTTTGAAATTTCAATCAACTTAAGTCCTAAAGTAGGTCCTCCAATATAAAAAATAGAATCTTCAGTGTTATTAACTATAACATTAATAGGATTACCTATGAACCATCCTATTCGTTCTCTATTGATTATATAATTATTTGAAAAAGGAACTGCTTTATTCAATATTATTAAATTATTATCTATTTTTTTAGGTGCTATTTGCATAATTTTTTTGTTTATTTTTTCTGAATCATCCCATTTGTTTGAAATACTAATATCAAGGATAGAATCATTGCAAATATAAAACAACACTTTATTATATAGTATAGATGTTATATTTTCGTTTTTAAGTATATCCATATTTATAATTTTTTCATTTTTCGTATTTTTTTTCCCTAAGGGGATATTTAATATTGTTGATGAGTTTTTCATTAAGTTCCTTGAAGTGTTCTGATAATCTTTATCATAATATGGCCCTATATGATAATACAGATCTATTATATCCTCATTAAGCACATCTTCGATAATTAAAAAACTTGAAAGACTCCATTTAACTAATGACTTGTCTTGTCCATATCTAGTACATAGTTCTTGAGGTGTTCCTAAAAACAGTCGAATTGGTGATTTATCTTTGTTAATTATGGGATATGGACATTTAATGCTTTCAATGTGTAGTCCATTAACGGAAAAAGAAAGTTTAGATAATGTCATAGCTTTTTGTTTTTCATGAATTAATGCTATATGATACCATTGTCCTTCTTTAAATCTATAAAAGGAAAATTTAGTACGATTCTTCAATGATGTCTGAAATAATAGATTTTTACTATTTTTTTCGATAAAAAGTTTACATATGTATTTTTTTTGGTTATCGACAATTGATAGTATATCTGTATCTAAAGTTTCATCGAACATATCAAATCTAATCCAAAAAAGCATAGAATAACCATTTAAAGGGGGAAATGATTTGTGTAGAGAAGAAAATTCAATATATGAATATCCATGCAATGATAAATTGAATTGAATATGAGATGGACTTTGATTTTGTGAAAATAAATGTAAAAGAAACGATGTAAGTTCTTCATTTTTCGTTAAATCTTTTGAAAATTTTTGTATTAGAAAAAAAACATCTTTAGTAGGTAATCCATTTTGGCATAGCTTATCGATTAGCTGCAATAATATTTTCTTTTCCATTGGATCTAAAATTAGCGAATCATTATTGAAAAGTCTTTTAATTATAATAGATGGTATTTCACTGTTAGTGAATGCTACAAGGTTTATTTTTGAAATGCAATTCCCAAGCAAAGAATTAAAAGTTAAAAGAATTGATAATCGATGCCAGGATAATTTGAAGTTTTTTTGTACCAAAAGAATAAGAGGAAGAATTCCAGGGTTTATAATTATATCTTTTTCTGAAAACTTTTCTTTTATTAATTTTTCGAGTTTATCGAATGTCTGTTTTTGTAATTTTTTGTTTGTATAACTTTTTATGTTTAATTGTTCCTTAATACTCCTAAATGATGATTGAAATGATTCATCGTTAAGTGCAAAGGAAAATAACATTCCTATAAGAGTTTCCGGTTCATTCTGGAGTAATGTTGTTTTAAGAATAAATGATGAAATATCACAGTAATGAAAAAAATGATATGAATTAAAAGGACTCCATGAAACAGCTGTGGATAAAAGAGTAAATACTGAGCATATTACTTGAATTGATTGCTTATAATCTTTATATTGCAGATTTTTTTGAGTATTTTCATTTTCATTATTAAGAAAAAACATATATAAAAAATTTAATACTTTTTCAAATCCTTGGCATTTTCGAAAAAATGACATAGATTCTTGATTGTTAATAATTAGTTGACGGATTTGAGATAAAACGAATATTTGGTCTATAGCATTGTTCATTTGAAAGAGTTGAGACAAAAGTGTATTAAACATTGTTAAAAATAATTGTTTTTTGTTAAAATGCTCTAATATTTATTTAATAATATTTTATATTTTGAATCATTTTAGCTATTTTTGATGTATACTTCTTAAGACATAAAAGCTTGATTAAATAACTTTTCTTTATAGAAACATCAAATTGCATTATAAATTGAAATTGATAGAAATACGAAAAAAATATTTTTATATTTTATTATTTATTACGTTTTTGAAAAAAAAAATAATTTGTATATATTTGAAAAGTTAAAGCTAAGATATATTTTGGAATATCAAATATATGTTTTACATAAATTATTTTTTAAATTGTCTAAAAATATTTTAATTCATAAAAAAATGTTAATTTTGGTGTTTATTATGATAGATATATAATTATTGATATGTATCTATAGATAATGTTACATATAGATGTAGCTTTTTATATAATTATAATTTTAAAAAAATAAAATATTATCATATGATAATCGATATTTTTTTATGAAAAATATGAATTATAGTTTTTTAGAAATGAAATTTATTGCGAAATTTATTATTTTTATTATAATTGGGTTTATTGGTAGCATTTCTTCTATTCCTATAATAGTATTTAGTGAAAATGAATATGATGATTATATTGTAATATTTCGTGAATCAGTTGATAATATAAAAGTTCAGAGACATTATTTATGGATTTATGATCATTTAAGATGGTTTCAGCAATATAAAAAAGAAAAATTTGGAATTGATAATGAAAATACTAATATACATGACTGGTTAAAATATGAATTTAATATTTCTGATAAACTCAGGGGATATCATGGGAGATTTTTAAAAGAATTCGTGAAATATATTGGTGAATATGAAGATGTAAGTATTATAGATTTTCAGATATTGCATGATTATAGATTTTTTTTTGTGTTAATGTCTTTTTAGATAGCATTTGTTGAGAAAGATCAATATGTTCATGCATTGTCTTTGCAAAAGAATGCTGGATGGGGTTTAGCGCGACTTTCTCATAGGAATACGCTTAATTTTTCTACTTTTAATAAATATGATTTTGATTCTTCTTCTGGTCAGGGAGTTACTATGTATGTTTTTTTTTCTAATTTATTGTCCTTATTTTTTTAAGTTATATAATTGATACGGGAATTAATATAGAACATACTGATTTTGGGGGTCGAGCAAAGTGGGGAATAACTGTACCTTCTGATTGTGAAAATATTGATGATAATGGACATGGTACTCATGTAGCTGGCATTGCTGCTGGTTCTACTTATGGTGTGGCAAAAAATGCTAATCTTGTTGCTGTAAAGGTGTTGAGGAGTGATGGATCTGGGCTTTTAGTAAATTATATTATTATTATTTCGGTAACTAATGATTACAGAGTGATGTTTTAAAAGGCATTGAATGGTCAATTATGATGCATTTAAAAGATGTTGAATCTATTAAAAATAAATCCTCTTTTAAAGGTTCTGTTGCTAATCTGTCTTTGGGAGGCATAAAAAGTAAAATTTTAGATTACTTTGTAGACATTGCAGTGAGTTTAGGTTTACATTTTACAGTGGCTGCTGGAAATGAAAATGATGATGCATGTAATTATTCTCCTGCTTCTTCTAAAGCTGCTATTACTGTTGGTGCTGCTACTATTTTAGATAATAAAGCATATTTTTCGAATTTCGGGTATTTTTTTTTACAAAGATTTTTATATTAATTTTTTTAGAAAATGTGTTGATATTTTTGCACCTGGTCAAAATATTATTTCTGCATGGATTGGTAATAATTTAGCAACTATGCCTCTTTCCGGGACATCTATGGCTGCTCCATATGTATGTGGATTGCTTGCTTATTTAAATTCTTTAATTTTCAGAAATTCTACATATGATATTTTTTTTACATCTGAAATGCTTAAAAAAAAAATTTTAGATCTAGGGACTAAAGGAAAATTGCATGATATACCCCCATTTACTGCTAATATTATTGCATATAATGGTATTAATTTTTTTTTATATTGATATAATAATTGTTTTTAAGGATACGATGAAAATACTAATTCTTGATATTATTTTAATTATATCAAACATTAATATATAGATTATTAGCAGAATCAATGGTTAATTATTTTTATTACTTTTTAATATCTTTATATAATTATTAAAAAATCATGTAAAATTTATTGTTTTTTTTTTTGCATTAAATTTGTGATATTTTTATGTAAAATCTATTAAATTTGTATTTATAACTTTATATTACATATATAAAATTTACTATATTTCCAAATTTTGATATCTAATCAATTGAATTTACATTTTAAAGATAGATATATAAAAAAATCTAGAGGAAAAAATATTTACTAAAAAACTAGTAATGATATAATTATGTGTAATATTAAAATTTAAGTGATAATTTATAGAACTTATAGAACTGTATATTATTTATTTTAATATATAACATTCTAAGAATTCATGTTTTATTTAAAACAATAATTGTAATCAATATATAAATTCGTATATACTATATAATATTTCTTTATTATATAATTTATAATTACATAAATATTATCATATATTTTTCTTACATTATGTATATGTTTTTTTATATAAAATATATAAAAATTATAATTTTTAGAAATAAAATATATTTAACTTTTATTGTATTATCTAAAATATATTTTATATTTTAATAAAAAATTATCTACAATATGTAAAAAGTATATATAAACTATTTTTGATAATAATTATAGTTTATTATACAAAATTATTTCATACATTTAAAAGTATTTTATAGTTTTAAAATATAAAATTTCATTTTAATATAACTAATTTTCTATAACATTTTTATTTTAACATTTTAAATAATATATTTTAATTAGTGTATTAATATTTAAAGTTCTAAAAAAAATATAAATTTAATATATTTTAGAATGAATAAAATTTAAAATACTAGTAATTCAACAATTCATAATTATCAACATAATCTTCAATTACGCATTTTATATATTTACTATAATGTATATATTTATATCAATATTTAATACAGTAACTAATTATTATCTAATATTATTTATATTTATAATCACTAACAATAAATGTATGAAATCATGCTATTTTTAAAAAAAAAAATTGAAAATTAATATATATATATACACATTTGTTCTATTTATAAAAATCATATCCAAGAGTACATCAATGTACATAAAGATTTTTATAGAATCAAAGAAAAAAAAACGACTGTTTCATTATATATTTTTCACAAAATTTGTTCATTTAACATTTTAACAGAATTTACAGAAGACGTAGGAGCACCGCTATCTGTCCAAAATCCAGGTTGTGAAAGTGTACTAGAATATTCTGATTGAAGATTTGAAGTCATACTTTTAGATGAATTTAAATACGTAGGTACTATTCCAACTTGTTTTGCTATTATTTTCCATTCATCAAGTTTATCAGGATTATAATTAAAATGATAACCATTTCCAGGACTATTCAAAGATAAAATGATTTAAATCCACAAAAAACGTTTTTTACCTTCCCTTAATGGGAAAAAACCATTCCCACCATTTTTTCCCCATAACAGAACACCAATTCTCTTTCCAACCTAAATCCCATGGATGGTCACCAGGATTTGTAGTAATATTTGCTCTTTTAAATCCAGATTTATCGGTATCATATAAAACATTAAGAAGATAAAATCTAGCATAAAAATTAATTGATTCTATAGTAGTTGAATTGCGAAATATATAAAAAACATGAATGCTAGTAAAAGGTCCCAAAAATAACGTAAAAAAAGATGCCCTAATAGAATTTTAACAAAAAAATCTACAATCAAACCACATTACATTGCAAGAATCCCTATCCATGGCCCAGGAACATGACCATTCTAAACATTTTAGAAAAAATAAAGCTATACAATCATACCATCATATAATATTCTCTAATCAAAGGTGCACATGAACATATAACAAAAACGCAAATAAGAGTAACATAAAATATAAACAAAACAAAAAACTTATATCGTGTAAAACCAATGACACCACCAACCCTATACATTTTAATATATTGTAAAACGAAAACTAATATATATCACCATGGACAATAATGATCTAACTTTAGAACACAACGCTGCACCTCACTACAATGATGGGCACGATCTGGCTTATATACTTCACATATAGCACACCATCTTGGAAATCCATCATTTTCGCAGACATAAGCATCATATAGACAAAATGTTCTCATCTGATCAGTTATATGATTTCTTAGTTCAATATCATTTGATGAACATATTTTTAAGTCTTTAAATCTAGGAACATAACCAGGAGATGTAAAAATAATACGTGCAAAAGAAAATGCAACCATAGATAAGAGTATAGAAAAAACAACAAGAAGAGCAACTAGATCATAAGCTTTTTAAATACAATAAAAAAAGTGATTACTTCCTAGACTCCTACCACGATTTACCAAATGATTTACTAAAAAGAATCAATATAAAAATAATTTGCTAATGTTTTAATACTGCATATTAATACAATATAAACCCATGTAGTAAAGCCCATAACACCAACTAAAAGCGGTGGAATAACCCAACCAAATGCCCTGTTAACTTTAATAGAACTTGGATCACATACCATCTGCATTAATATTTTTACTACTGGGAATTATTTTGAAATATTATATAATATATAATCTTATCATTTTATATTTTTATTTCGATACTTGTTAAAAACATTTAAAATTATAATACGATTAAAATGTTAAAATTCTATATTTCTTTTACAATTTAATATCACATATTATTACTATTACTGAGTTAAAGAATAAAACTAAAAAATTATCAAAAATAGAGTAGTTTTAGATTTTCAAGTATAATATTACATTTCAAAAAAGCATATTTTCTACCAAAAGAAAACATAAAATATAACTTTAACAAATAGGAAAAATATATTCATTATATATTCATTTAAAAAACATAATACTATATAAAATTTAATCTAACAACTAAAGATATTTTTCAATGGCTATTATATGAAATATTTAACATCTTTATAAATAAACATGCATTTCATATTCGATTATCTTATTTTTTTTATATTTATATATATATATTATAAATATTACAATTACATTATTTATTTCATAAAACGCGTATTTGCCATACTTCAACATATAAAACAAATATAAAATATTGAATATTATTTTATAAGTTTATAATCACTAGAAATCGAACAGAAAAAACATGGAGATCTAGAAATACATATCATCATCCTCCTCGTATACAGGAAAAACATTAAAATAATTATTTTTATATCTTTGTACATAATGTCCTAAGTTTACTTGAGTAAACCCCAATAATTAATAAATACACATTTTAACTGTTATAACAATATATTCTTAAATGTTTATCATTTTAAAATTCATATTGCTACTAACAATATTATTAATTTTTATATTGAAATATAAACATAATCATCATAAGATTGGTTATTTACACTACCAATTCTATCTATAGTAGATTTTAGTTACCAAAAATTTAAATATTTTTTTCAATTAAACATAAAAAACAAGATAACTCAATACGTCAATCATTCAATTTCTAAAGAAATTATATGAAATAAAAATTATATCATTCATTATAAAAAATATCATGATAATATCCAGCGCACAAAATATATCTAATATTATAATATAAAAACAAAATTATTACAATAATAATTTCCAAAATTTTCATTATTTTAAGTAATCAAATCTTTAGTTTTAAAAATTTTTAAACTAATATTCATAATAACCATAATTTATATAATTTATCTAATTATGAACATTTCAACTTCATTTAATAATAATAAAAATCAAGAACCTATTAAATAATAAATAAAATATTACAAATCATCAAAAACATCAAAAATCTAAAATTTATCAGGAAACAAATTATATACAACAATAGTTATCAATCATGTATATTAATTAATAAAACAATCCAATTGTAGATTTTCAAAATGTAATATTATACAATCACAAATCCAAAAATATTTTGTAGATTAATTCGTTATAAATATCTATATAAAAATCCAAATACATCAAAAAAGTTATTTTTTTAACAAGCATAAAAAAAAAATCAGGGAAAGCAAAAAAATCACTAGTTCAAAAAATATTTATATTTACGATTAAAATTATCAAAAAAATATTTATATCATAATTTCAGGATTCAGTTCTTCTACGCTTAAATGTATCATTCAGTTCTCTATTCCCTATCTGACGAATAGAAGAAACTCTTGAATGTTTACGAAACATTGCAGATTCTCGGGTATGTTCTCTATATTCAAAATTATCTTTACTTTCTCTCAAAGACCGCGTCTTTCCTATATTTCGTTCCATAAAATTAACATCTTTATTAGTAAAAAATCTATTCCTTTCATTAAAATTATCATTATCCCTTATCTTTTCACGATTATAGCCAGAATTTCCAACTTCGTGTACATAATCTTTTTCCCTGTTATATACATCCTTATTAATTAGAGTAACTATTCTTCTATCTTCTCTATTAGATTTCAAATTTGTCTCTTTTAATGATTCCTTTAAAAAAGACTCGCGTCTAGAATCCGATTCTAATCCTGAAGAATATGTTCGAAAAGATTCATCAACATTACGCTTTATAAAAGGCTTTTCCATATCAAAACGCATTCTAGAACGTCTCATGGAGGAAGGTTCATAATCATAACTTTTCCTTTGTTCAGAAACGTCACGAGACTTTCCCATTTCAGAGGTTTTTATAGGAGATATTTTTCGATTAAAAGGATCAGAAGTTTCATCATGTAAAATTTCTCTAGAAGAAAAGGTTTTACTATCAGAAAATTTATCTCTACTCAAAGAAGGACCCTTAGGTATATCCTTAAATTTAGAAAACAATAAAGAATTATTAGACTGAGATTGTCTATAATAATAATCAGAAATATCATAAATGCAATTTTAAAACTACTCTTTTAGTTCATTAGTAATCATTACTTGTCTACGTCTTGAATGAACAGTCAAAGAATCGATTTTATCTTGCGACGCTTTTATCTTATTTTGATAAATTACTGAATCTGTTGATTCAGTAGGAACTTTTCTATAAGTTCTTGTTGCATGTTCTGTCTTAGTCATAGATAAATTCGTTGATTCAGCATCATTAGCAATTATTCTTTGAATTAAATTTTCTGAAGAAAGAGAAAGCTTTTCTTCTATATCTGTTTTCTCAATTTTTTTAAGAGAAGTCTCTGTAATCGAAGACAAATCTTTTTCTAAAATACTATGCTTTTGAAAGTCCGGAGTAACATTATTTCGTATGTCTTTATACTCTGAAATTTTATCATCGGAATGTAGCCATTCGATAGGTTCTATTGCTTTTATTTTTTTCGTTTCAAAACTATTCTTAACAGATAAATCTTCAGAATCAAAATTAGAATCATCATTATTCAATATTTCATGTATTTTCAGATTAGAATTCAAAGTTTTCGACTGTGCCGATACATTATAATTAAGTAACCTCAAAAAATCAGCAATATTTCAAATATTTTTTAAAAAAAAAACATTTTATCATCAATTTGATGCACCTCAACATTTTCGGTTTTATCTATAGATATATTTTTTTTTATTTGTTCATCTCTATTGAACTGAGATATATTTGAAATTTTAGTATCAAAATCATCTTTTTTCAAACTACCATTATTTATGTAGCCCGAGTCTATAATACTTTCTATTCGGAGCTTGTTCACAGAAGCATTAATAACAGAGTCACCTTTGATTTCATTATTACTTTTAACATTCATTATTAAATCCTGATCCTCATATAATCGATTATATTGTTTAGATCTAAAAAATATTAACAATTATATTTATTGTATTTACAAACATACTTATCAGAGGATTTATCAGATAAAACAGAATTTTTAGAATCAAAATCCTTGAAATTATTATCAACACTCTTTTTAGAATTTTGATTGTATTTGGCAAAAGAATCAGAATTTATTAGATAATTATTTTCTGAGGGTGTCGTTAATGATGTAGATGAAGTAGATACTTGAGTCCAAGAATCATTAAATAAATTATTTTGTCCTGAAAAATTATCGATCTAAAAAAATCAAACATACAGATACATATATAATCAATATTACTTTCTGAAATTGATTTATTGACATCCATTTAGACTCTCCTTTAATTAATTTTGCACGATATCCAAGAGCACGAACTTTTAAATCTTCCCTTTTTTCTTGCTCTATAATAAAAGAAACTTTATCTTTAAGTGCTCGTCCCATCCATGCTACAACAGGAAAACATTGAGAAATTTTTTCCAAAACTATAATAGCATTACGAATGTGCATGTATTCTTGCGAATCCAGACATATTTTAAATACCTAAAATCTTAGATACAAATTACAAAATCATATGAAAAACCTGATTTAATTTCCTGTGCCATTTATACATTAAACGTTTAAATTCTTCATATTGAAGCATATCTTCATCATTAATATGTTCTTGAGGTTTATCGCGAAAACTAAAAGACCAACGTTTTTGAAATCCAGGTAAATTCTTTATACCTTTTGCTTCTTTATTATAAACTATTTCATCTTTATACCAAATAGACAAATCAGTTAATATTTCTTCTAAGAACCTGCCAAAATTTTCAGCCTCTTGTTGAGTACAAATAAATAGCAATGAAGGTAAATAGTCACCAAAAAGCTATCAACATAATTTAAAAATAATTTAAATAAATAAATAATTTACCCTATCATACAAGGTAAGAGTAGAAAAATTAGGAGTTCCAAAAGAATGTATTAAACGTATAAATTTTGCACAATAAATAGAATCATTAGGACTAAAGAGACACCTAGGTAGGAAACAATATTGTATCAAATGATTAGAAACCTCTATCCTTCTATGAGACCCTAGAGATCCTGGACCATTTGATTCTATTGATACAGAAGCAAAAGGAAACCATGTATCTTTCTCTAAAAATATTCTTTTCCGTGTGTTTTCATAAGAAGACATCTGGAAACTGAGCTCCGCCTGGCATTTTTCTATTTTTTGGACAATCAAATCCTTTTCTTTTTTTTTTTTCAAAGAACCCTTTAAAATATATCAGCACTTTTTCCCAATTATGAAAAAATATCACAACATTAACATCAGAACGATCCTGATCAATATTATGTATAACTGTTTTCATTTTGTTCATTTCTATTTCATATTGATTTATGGGTACATAAATATCATAAAGTTGAAGCTGCCAAAATGTAACATAAAACCATGGACTTCTAAAATTTAGCCAAAAAATACAACTCCAGAAAATAACCTTATATAACACCATGTTGTCTTTGGAAGAATTTCAGTAATTGATTCCGCAAGAGACACCAATACAGAATTTGATAATGATTTATTACTAATATTCAAATTTTCATTATGTCTGCTTTGTAATAAAATTTTAGTATTATCTTCAATTTCTTCACCTTCTTCCAAGTCTTCTGAAATATTTGAAATATTAGTATCATTATTTGTAACAATCTGATTAGGTGGTGGATTAATAGAATTCTCTATATTAGCATAATTTTTCTAATATGTTCAATAAAGGTATAAATAAACCAAAACAATATAACCTTTTCATAATTTTCTTTCTCTTCAATAAGTCTTTCTTTATTTTTTTTAAAATCCTCATTAGCATAATATCTCTGTAAATAGTTAATGATTGCAATGCTATTATAAAAAAAAACCTTTATTTCTTCATTTATTTTCGTCCTAGCTATATAAAATGCAACAACGGGTTCTATCCCATATTTTAAACACATATCAGGAATAGTAGGAACCAATTTTGAAAAATTAGAAAAATCCAAATTAGTTGTTAAAAATTCAACATACTGTACTAAAACATTTTGGCACTAGAAAATTTAGAAGGAATAATCTACAAATATTCTATATTTCACCTCATCCAAGAGATTTGCTAAAAGTTTCAAAGGTGCATTGCTATCTTTTAATCTATAAATACAAACAAGTCTCTGCTGTGCGATAAGAATTAAAAGAGGCCCGGCCAAATTAGATTCCACTAAAGCTCTAAGCAACCTTGAAGAACTTTTCGAAGAAATTATTTTTGAATCATAAATGAGGGACATTGCTATTTGTTTTAAATATTCACCTCCAGCAAGACTTTGAAGCTGAGATTCTGACAAATTTGTTGGAGGCAAAATACCACCCATTTGAGCAATTAATTCTTTCAAAACTATCAAATCAAAAGTATTTGATATTTTAAGTTGATTAACAATATAAAAAATAACTGTAATAGGATCCATATTTGAATATCTTTTAAACAATCTTCCACAAAATGAAGCCAAACCTTGAAATAATAATTAACTTTTATTACATTATTTTAAAAATTACCTTGAAGCCAATGAGCTATACTGGTACCATCATCTTTTAATCTTTTTTTATTCTCATTTGATAAAGATATCAATAAAATAAACGTTAAAACATCATATCCGAAAATAGTAATATAACGAGCAGCATCAACAACAACATCAACAAGATTATCATAAGATTCTATTTGATTTAAAGCAACAGAAAATACGATACAAGGATTTGAATGAGAAACTTTCGCCAAAACTCTTCCAAATTGTCTAACATTTGTTTTTGAAATACGCCGTAAAATTCCTTTTGTTTCTTTTTCAACTTCAACAACTTTAACTTTTAATTCAGGATATATTTTATAAATAACATTATTCCATTCTCCATAAAATGCATATCTCTCAGAATACGAATAAAACCTGATGAGATCATAAATTTCATTGACTACTCCTGGATTTACTTGAATCATTGATAATGCGGGTAACAAAAATCCTCTTAAAACATTCTTCCATGCTTCTTTAACTTTCTGAGACGAACATTCCTTTAAAATGTTAATAACTTATATAACATATTACTACAAACCTCTTTAATTTGAGCTCTGCCTATTCTACAAATTTTACATAACAGTTTAATATCACGGTAAATTCTTAAACTAGAAAAACGAAGCAGTGGAATAACTATTTTGTGAAAATCATCATAGGTCTCACAAACAGGAATAAGATTCATTGCATCATCTTCATAAAAAAATTTTTTCAATAAATCATTTGTAATATGAACTGGAAGAGGATCTAAAGTTAATTTAACACGAGGAAAGTGTGTAAATACTAAAGAATCTCGAAACCGCATATCTAAGGGCCTTTTTTTTTCCTGAAAAAGACTTTGACGTAGATTTTTAGATAATCCCGACAGAGGAGATATTTTATTATATATATCACTAATCATATGATGAACAATCTTATGAAGAAGATCTGCCAACTCCGGATATGGTCCAGACAAAAAAGGAAACTCTGAGAACATATAAACTGCCTGAGGTAATGCCCCAACAGAAAGTAGTGCTTTTAAAAAAAGCACTTTTTGATTATAAAAATTTTGAGAAGTTGAAAACTAAAAACATTAGATTTACATGATTTATATTAGCCCATATTACATATGGTTCAGAAGATTCTATCTTAGAACTATTTTCTTTATCTCCTTTATCCTTTGAAATACTATCATCTGTTAACGCTCCAGCCATCTATCCTTATCAAAAAAGAATTTAAAAGAAAAAAATAAAACTCACACTTAAAGCATTTCCACGTGCTCTATATGCCTTTTCTTCCAAATTACTATTAAAATTCTTCCATTCCGTCCAAATCATATTGTCATTAGAAGAAAGCTATTTCAAATCAGATAATTAATAAAAATATAGAATTATAAATACATAAGGTAAAATATCACCAATATCTACTAACTCATATTTAACTAGGAGAGCTATCAACATAAAGAGAGACTCTGGGTTTTCCTGTATGTTTTCAGAGTTATAATTTTTTAATTTAAAACCTAAAAGTTGAGACGCCACTTTACTCCCAGAATGACAATGTATATCGTCAAAAAAGGTTTGAATACCCTTTTGTAAAATATTGTCAAGTTTTTTTCGTTTCTCAAGAGAAGTTATATCTTTTAAATTATAATATGATTCTGCAAAACCCCACCAAGAACTAATAGAAAATAACTCAATAAATATCTTCCAATGATAAATAAGATTCTGAGATGCAATAGTTAACAAAATATCAAGAACTTTATTAGAATCTAAATCAAAAAATCCAATTAAAGATGTAATATTATTAAAAATTTGTTTTATTCCCAAACTAATCATATCTTTATCCTTATTCAAAATATCTGATTCCAAAAATGAATTAATTTCAACTATAAGTTTTGAATATCCTTCATTTTCTTCCCGAATAAGATTAAATTTAGTTTGTTTATAAAGAAGGGATGTATTAATTCGAATAACTTTTTTAGTAAAATTCACATGACTTAGAATAGCAGAAACTAAAACAAGTAGATTTGACTCTAATCTTTCTCTAGCAATTTCCATAGATACCAAGCCAACAGCCTAATAATTAATAATATTAAGAAGCCATGAATAATGATCTTACCAAAAGCTCCTTTAATAATACAGTCAAACTACTCAATATATTATCAGGGGAAATCTCACTACAATGCCCATCATTTTGAAATAACCATATATTGTCAAGACAAATATCTTCCATATTAAATGAAATATTGAGTTTTTTTATATCAAGTAATATAGTAGAAACAATTTTTTCAGATATATTATGTTTAACAATAAAAGAGTCAAAAATATCGAAAATAATATGCTCCAGTTCTTGTAGACAATTATTAGCAATAGCAACCTCTGCTATTTTTACACTAAAAAAATAAAAGAAAAAATCTAATAAAAACATAAACTTACCAATTCAATATATAATCTTTGACTGAATCCGTTTCCCTAAAATTACTTTTTTTCTCAATAAATTTATCATCTATATTTTTATTTTCCATAATTTATCAACCCTTTTAAAAATAATTTATATTTTAAAATCCTAAAATTGACCGTTTATAAAAAAAATGTAAAAATATAAAATTAATTTGTAAAAAAAAATTTTAAACACATGTTTATAATTTCTAGATTCAATCAAACTAATTTTTATAATTCATTTAAACTTTAAATAATTAAAATACAAATTAGCTAAATGAAAAAAACAATATATACTAGCTTTTTTAAATTCATTTCATTAAAAAAACATTTATCTCTAATATCCAACATAATATTTTAGAAGGAAAAAGCACTAAATCCATTTTTTTGCTATATAATCTAGATCAATTATAGAAAAACTAATTTATAATTACAGATGATTTCATAAATTTCTACTATTAGTATAATACTAAAATAATAAAACTCATATTAAGCCCTTAAAGAACATACACTTTTTGAAAAAAGCTATATATCATCCAATAAATAGTATCTAATTGAAAAGTCACATTTATCTTAACATTTTAAAATGGTACGATTTATAATTTTTTAAATAGAAAATATCAAATATATTTATAAATAAAAATATTTATAAAAACTAATATTAGCAAAATAGAAACTCAAGACCAACTAAATCATAAAACATATTTATAGTTCTAAAAATTAAAATAAGCAAAATAAAAAAATAATAAATATGTAATGAATCTGAAAAATATAAATTTGGAATTCTATAATAGATTACTCTTAAATCTTTAATTATTACCTTGCAATAATCAACAATTTATAACATCATCTTAACAATTATTATAATAACACATTACTTAAATAACAAAAATAGTAAATATTATAAAACTTTAATGACTTTCCAAATATTTTCAAAATCAATATCCTTTAAAAATAGAAAATGCCTAAAAATATACTTAATGATGACTATATAAAAAAAGATTTGTATGAAATCATTTAATTTATATTTAGATCGATTACAACTATTTATAAAAATACTACTATATAATAAAATCCTATAAAATTGACTACAAAATTTTAAAACAAAAACTATTTAATAAAAAATCAAATGAAAAATGATTTAGCATAATATTATTAAAAAAATAATTGTTATTTCAAACATTAAAAGATAATTTTATTTCTAAAACTTGCAACCAATATCATACTCATAAATAAAATAATAATCATAAACGTTCAATTTTTTTCTTAATATTTATTAATAAAATTACAAAAGTTAAATATAACACGTATTTCCTTTATAATAAAACTCCAGGCTGATACGAAGTACCGAATACACCTTTCATAACATATCGCAAAACCTCTTCTTCCCATGGTCCTAATAAATGTCTTCCAGTTTTTTCCATTATTTTGACTATATCGTATTTAACCATTCTATCGAAATATTCCTCAGTAGTTCTAGACAATATAAATTCCATCAATGGAGTTAATTCGACACATTTTAAAATACCCCATGGATGTTTTACAATCTCTTTCAAAATTAACAAAGCAGAATGACGTGTAGATTCAAAAGGAGATTTTGCAGACATCATAATATCAAACATAGCTTTCGAAGATAACTTTTGTTGAAAAAAAAGTTGAGTATATTTATCTGAAGGACTTGAAAATATTAACTGTAGAGCACTTAAGCCATTATCTGTTTTAGTAAGATTAGACATATCATTCAATTTAAAATAAATATATTCAGAAAAATCATCAGAAAAACAAAACATTCCAGCAATTGTAAAAAGATTTGCTTTATAAAGAGATGAAGATAATGATCTAAAAGACAAATTTTCAACCAATCTGGATACCAAATTATTAGAAGAATCAATTCTTTTAAAATCTTTAAAAGAAATATACTTCATCGATTCAATAAATTTACAAGATTGAATTATTAAAAGTTCAGTATCAACATCAATATTTGAAGATTGAGACATAAGAAATGGAGAAATAGCTTCTTTAAAATATCCATGATTTTCAAGCCATTCGAGGGTATAATTAAGAGTTAACAAGGACGATAAAAAATCGAATTTACAAAGTTTCATAAGAAGATCATTTGAATTACATAAGTTCATCACATTATCTATTAAGCTACTGGAAGCAAGAAATTTAAACATTTCGAACGATTGACTAGAAAGTTTTAATATTAGAGTTAAAAATCGAGATATAATCATGGAACTAGAAGAAAATGAGTCATCTGATGAAAAAAACTGAGTCGATAACGCTAAAAAAGATGATAAAAGCCTCTCTCTAAACATATCACTAGAAAGATTAAGCTGTATAAAATATTAATAATTTATCACCAATGAGATAATTATAATACATCACATATTATTTCTATAGCCTTATTCGCAGATGAACAATGCTTCGAGGATATACAAGAAATTATACAACTAATTATATTTTCATTAATATCATTAGGAGTAATTGCTTTAGTTGATTTGGAAAGCATTTTCAAACAAAACAGCTCTATATCTTCATTTCCGCACATAATCCCTGTAAGAATATGTGGAACAAGATCTAATTCGCATATATCTTTCCAAGACAATGTAGATATTAACTTTTCTATAACTCTTATATTAGGTAAAGGATCTATTGGCAAGTACAAAGCCCGAATAAGCTCAGGGAGAAAAGAAAGACAAGAATTTCTTGTAGAATCTATACTTATTAATAGAATACCAAAAACTAAATATTTATAAAACCCGAAATAGAAAGAGCAAATTCTTCAAAAGCTAAAGGAAGTAACTTAAAACTTTCAGAATTAATTTCTATATCATAAAGAAGATCTTTTAATCTTTTTGCTTCAAAATGTAAATGATTCATTGTCTTAATTAAATTCAGCTAGCAATTATATATTTTTTAAAAATCTAAAATTCAAAATCCATTAAAAAACATATTCGAATCATCCCAGACTATCATATTTAAAATATTGACTATCAATTATACTCTATATTCATTCATTTTAAAACTAGCATACCTTATAGAACATCATAACATAATCTACAAACTTCCGTTAAAATATAAAAAAAATCGAAACATAAAAATAATCATTCTATAAAAAATAACATTTTAAACCTTTATATCACAATATTATTAATAATTTTTAATAAAATTTTTCTAGAAAAGTTTTAGAAACAACTTTTTTGAATATCATATATCTAAAACTATCTAAATATTTTTTTCCATAGAATATTATTAGATAAAAATGAACATAAATACCAGCATTTCACAAACAAATTGTACACTTGAAAAAACTTTATTTTTTAAAAGAAAACTCAAAAAAGAAAAAAATTCTAAAACAGAAAAAACAAATACAAGGTCAAAATCAAGCGAAAGTATTTTAATCAATAATTTTACTATTCAAAATAATCATGAAAACAATACAACTTCAAGGTATATATATATTTAAAATTCAGTGGATTTAACCTCTTTTTTCTTCATTTGATATAATTTTCTAACTCTTAAAGTATATTAAAAAATCCAGAAATGAAAGATAAACAACTTACTCATAGTTCTCAAAGTTCTTTTCAATCATCAATTCTAAAAAAATATATATCAAAAACCGATGACGCATCAACAAATGATTTATTTTCAAAGGATAGAACATCTTTTCAAAAAAGTCAATCCTCCATTAACTCATACATATCAAATTTGAAAATTACAGAATGTAGTGATAAAACCTCTGATTTTGAGACATTTTTAGATTTAAAGACTTCTTCTACTCAATCGATAAATAATGTGTATGGAAATGATAAAAATTCAACTTATAATATACTTACAAAAGAATCTAACTCTATATCATCTATTTCTGAAAAATCAAATACTGGTTTTTTTAATACTGTTATATCTGCTGCACAAAATGCCGCTAATTCTCTTACTTCTTTAACCACACATAAATCTTCAAAGGATAAAAATATATCTGAAAAATTGAATGGTTCAAGAAATTCAACTAGAAATAACCTTGGATCAATAACTAATGAATTTGTTACTCAAGATTTTTTAGAGAAAAAAAATAAAGAATTGGCTATTAATATTATTCCATCTATAGGTTCAGGAAAACTTTCTTTAAACGATGTAAAGATTTCGGAAGATATAGATAAATCACATGTTTTTGCAGACAAAGAATGCCCTGATAAGGAATTGTCCAACAAAAAACTGGAAGAGAATCTAAATAATAAATTTATCAATTATAATTTCAATCAGAAAAAAAATCATACTTCAGCATCATCTCAAATTTTAACTCATAAAAAAATTAATAGTATTATCAAAAAATCAGGATATTCATCAGCATCTTGTCTTAATCGACAAAATACTATTCATTTATTAATTCAACAAATCACTGGTATCGCCATAGCAAATAGTAAAAGAAATAAGGAATTTCATACATTATTTAAAAGTATTCCAGAAGATAGTTATCTTATCGATGGTATTTTTTTTAATTTTTTTTTTAAACTTTAAAACATTTTAGATTATGCATCTGCATTACAAAAAGATATTCTTCTTCATGGACGAATGTACATATCAGAAGCTTATATATGCTTTAATTCAAACATTTTCGGATGGATAACAAATGTAATTTTTATATAAAAATTTGAATGCATCTAATAATTTTAGTTAATTATTTCCTTCTCAGAAATTGTTTCCATTGACAAAAAAAGCACAGCAATTGTTTTTCCTAATGCAATTCAAATAACAACACTTCATGCAAAATATATATTTTCATCTTTTATTTCAAGAGATACAACATATGATCTTCTTACTAGTATATGGCGTTTGACAAATCCTTCTACTCGTACATCAATAACAGAAATAAATATAGACGACAAAAATAATGAAAACTGTGAGGATTTAACAAAAACAAGGAACCTAAACGATGAAGATTTCGAAACCAACAATATACAAAATAATGAAGGAAATAATACTAATGAAGATTCAATTAAAAAAATAGATGATGAGACTTTATGCCAAAACTTTTCAAAAAAAAATTATTTAACAATTAATGATATTAATTTAGATATTAAATCATTAGAATATACTGAACGTCAGCCAACAGAATGTAGTTGTTTGTTACGTAATGAACACTATGAAAAACAAATATGCGATGAAATAATTAAAGGGCCTTTACCAGAAGTTGTTAATCTATGTTTTGGAGAAGAGCTTGCATTTATGCATAATTTTTTAGAAAATGTACAGAAAGTTAGTGAAATAAAATTAGGTAAATGGAAAAAGGATGATTCAGGGAAGAAAATACGTCATATTAGTTATTTAAAACCCTTATATGCGCCAGTTGGTCCGAAACAGACTCATTGTAAAATTGTAGAAATGATAGAGCATGAAGATAATAATTATGTGACAGTGTCTTCTATAACTAAAACTCCTGATGTTCCATCAGGAAACTCGTTTGTTGTTAAAACAAAATATTGTATGATGTGGGATAAAAATAATTATACAAGAATAATTGCTACTTGTACTACAGATTGGACTAAAAGTAGCTGGCTCAAAAGTAAACATAGATTTTAATTTAATTATATGACTAATATTTATTTTCAAAGGTCCGATCGAAAAAGGTGCAAACGAGGGTCAAATATCGTATATCAAAGATCTTATTGATACCATAACAAATGCCTTAAAAAGGCCTATTAATGAAAAATATCTTGAAGAAAAACCAACTAGAAAACTTCAAAAGTTGTACAAAATAAGACACAGTATAGACAATAAAAAAAATCAAATAATGTGTGACAAAAACAATTCAGACATAAAACTAAAGTTATTCAATAAATTAAAGTCTGCATTTAATACTATTTTAAATATCTTTTTATTTGTTATAAAACCTAATAACATTACTATAGTTCTTTTATTAATGATTTTTTTAAAAATAGCTCAGCTAGAAAAGACATTTCAAAATATGACACATTTAACAAATATTGATTATAAAATATTGAATCATTACAATTCGTTATGGACACAGGGAGAAATTTCAGAAAAATGCATAAAACCCGAAATAACATATAATTTTCAGATTCCAAAACGGTATTCAAGTTCATTTTTTGATAAGAAAAAAAGAAGAAATTTATAAAAATTTAGAAGATTATAAAAATAACCAACATAATAACAAACTTCATAAAATAGAAAAAATTCTAAAACAAGAAAAAAATCTTTAAATCCTTAAAATAATATTCATAAGAAATTCTAAATGTAAATTTTTATATATTAAGTACTAAAAATTATCATCAATATGTAAATTAATTTTATAAAATCGATTATGTCAATCAATATATTACTTTTTTTATTTTGTCTTTATTTTCTTAATTCAATATACGATTAAATCAATATTTGTAATAGATTTAAATAAACATTAAAACATAAAAATTCAAAAATTAAAATATTTAAAACTTAAACGTAACAATTTAAATATAATATGTAAAAAGTATTATCTAATAATCTATATAAGAATAAAAATATTAAAATTTTACTAATTACTATTACATAAAAAGATGAATTTATATTCTATGTAAAATAATTTTTACCATTTCTTTTAAAGATTATATATTTATTATAAATTTAAAAATATTAGTCAGATAAAGTATAAAAATATACATAATTCTATAAAAATTTAAATGCTATTTCAAATAATCATAACTTATAATTTTTTGTTCAAAATATCATTGGTTTTAATGTTTTTGGTATTTATAAAAATAAAAAATTATTTAAGTTAAAAATAATATACATTTATATTTATAATAATATTATTAAATATTAGGATATAGTAACATTATAATAAAATATCTATATTTTTTAATTACATATACATATGTATTTCAAAGAATATTAAAGATCAACTCTATAAATCTGACTAGTTTTCCTTTTTTTTATTAATATCAAATTATACAAATAAAACATGGATAAAACAGCAAAGCTCTATAATTAATAATTATTAACAAAAAGAATCAAAAAACTATAAAAAACTCATATAGTATTATAATTCGTTCAAAATATACTTTAAAACATATATTTGATGAAATATCAAAAAAGTTCAAAAACAAATAAATATCATCTAAAAAGAAGCTTTGAAAAACATCATATATATGTTAAATGTTAATAATAACTATAATTTTCCAAAACTTTGAATATATTATGACAAATTTGCTTACTACCAAAACTAGAAAATCTAAAATAAACTAACACAAAAATACAACATTTAGTTTATAACGTCATAATAATTGCTTATTATTTTTACTATCTTTTATTAGAAACTGATATAAATTACATTACTTTAAAATATTTAAGTTCTTTTAATAATAGTATCCAATAAATTAATTACATTCAAGTTATCTTTAATAAAATATTATTAACAACTTCATTATCTTAAATTGTTTATTCTCAATCTATTTCATCATAATATTATACTTCGTACCAGCAAAATTACAAAATAATTCCATATTATGATGAAAACAAAGTATTATATAAAATAGTTACAAAATTTTTATAAAATCTAAAAACAAAAAATAAAATCTGAGATCCATAAACACTAAAAAAACATAATAAATGAATAAAAAACTCTTATAGAACAAAAAGAAGATTTTATGTAATATTCAGTATTTAGTTTGCAGAATTTACTATTTAACATAACAATCCCTTAAAACATAATTTACTTTTCAACATATTTTATCAACCAAATGATTACATCTAATAACATAAACTTCACAATAACAATATTTAGCAAATTTTATACATGCAAAACAAATATATATCTAGACTATCAAAAAAATATTAAAAATAGAATATAAATATTAATAATCATTTCAAAAAATTTAAATAAACATTATCATTAAAAAACATTATCTTAAAAGTTACTTTATCCTATTATACATAAAAAATAAATTATAAAAAATAAAAACCAAGTAACCTCAAAATTCTTATAAATAATATCAAATTAACAAATTTCATATTTTTGTTCTTGATATTTTAATTATTATATTAAAATATATCAAAAGAAAAAATACAACACATTATTATAAAAATATTTTTTTCTTTATATAATTATCTATTTATCATATTCAAAGTTTAATTTTTTATTAAAAATCACTATTTACAATAGAAAATACTAAAATGAGGCCGATTTTACTTCAAGGACATGAACGTCCACTAACTCAAGTAAAATTTAATGATGATGGTGATCTTCTTTTTTCCGTATCTAAAGTATTTTTTTTTAATTAGTTTACTATTAAATTAATTCAAATTCTAGGACCATATTATTAATGTATGGTTTTCACATAATGGAGAGCGTCTTGGTACATATCATGGGCATCAAGGTGCTATTTGGTCAGTCGATGTAAATTGTAAACAGATTTTTTTTTAAATACATCAAATTAAATAAAGTAATAGCTACATCAACACTTATGGCAAGCGGATCTGCAGATAATACAATCATGCTATGGGACGTAAAAACGGGAAAATCCCTTAAAGTTTGGAAATTTCCGACAGCAGTAAAAAGAGTTGAGTTTAACGAAGACAACTCTTTACTTTTAGGCGTTACAGAACAAAGGATGGGTCACATAGGATCATTAGTCGTGTTTTCCATTATAAATGATGTAGATGCAGAACGTAAAACACTAGAATATTTTTTACAAAATTTTAAATTCCTACAGAAGCTAATGCACCTATATATACAATACTTACACAAGATTCCAAAGCCACTGTCGCAGGATGGTCTTATCTAAGCAATTACATAATTACAGGGCATGAAAATGGATCTGTATCTTGTTACGATGCAAAAGTAATTTCAATAAATGCTGCACTATTAAATACATTAATAAAAGTATATAGGCAGGAAAGCATATAAGGACAGAACAAATACATGAAAAAGGACAACCAGTAACAGATCTTCAATTTTCTCCTGATAGGACATATTTTATTACATCTTCAAAAGATAAAACAGCAAAAGTATTTGACTATTAAACATATAGTTTTTCTAATTAATAAAGATTTGCGATGTTGAATCACTTAAAGTGCTTAAAACATATATAACAGATACTCCTTTAAATACAGCTGCTATTACCCCTATTAAAAACTTTGTATTTCTTTTTTTTTTTTATCTCACCTAATACAATATAGGTAATACTTGGTGGTGGCCAAGAAGCCCGTGACGTAACAACAACTTCCCAACGTCAAGGGAAATTTGAGGCTAAATTTTTTCATAAAATATTTGAAGAAGAAATAGGAAGAATTAAAGGCCATTTTGGTCCGCTAAATACAATTGCTGTTCATCCTAAAGGTATTGCATATGCTAGTGGAAGTGAAGACGGATATACCAGAATACATCATTTCCCACAGAATTATTTTGATTTCGAATACAATCTTTAAAAAATCAGATTAACAAATTCATCTATAATAATAAATTTTCAAATATTCACTAAGAATACTTAAAATATATTTAATCAGGTTGTACTTTTTTAATTTGCCATCAATAAATCACATTCAATAACATTAGATATTTAAAACAAAAAAACTATATTCTAATATATTAATTTATTTTTATAAAAATATAATAACCAATAATTAAACATTTTATTATGTCTAGATCAATGATGCATTTCGTAAAATTAGATAACTAAAGTATAAAATTAAATCAATAAATCATATATAAAAACAGTATTTCAATACATATATAAATATGTATTAATATTATATTCAAACAAAAAATATTACTTTTTTTCTGGAAATTTGGATTCCGGATAAAATTTCCCAAAAAAAGAATCTACAACAACTTCAACAGGATGATCAAACAAAAAAGGCAAAGCTTATATAACTTAGTTAATAGAAAAATAACAAAAAAAATCTACCAGGCATAATACTTAATCCAGTTGCTACAGGGCCCCACATACGAATTCTTCTATTTTTAGCATTTTGAAATACATATCTTCCTGAATATTTAACAACAGAATGAATAGTAAACGCTGGTAATCCCATACTAGCAATCCCTTGAAATACACTTCGTTTTATCATTGCTCTTCCAACAGGTCCACTGTTTTCGTTATTAATATATTTTACCTTATAACCTTCATAAGTAACATCCCCAATAATATATAGCCAAGAGATTCCATATGCAGCTCGAACAAAATGAGGATGAGCAATAGGACGAAAAGCTTCACCAGCATCAGATATATAGGCAAGATATCGTGAAGTTGCTATAAGAAGATTTTTAAATCTTCCAACATATCCAAAATACCGAGCATTTGAATCAATAGTATCTATCTTTCCATTAATAACATCTGTTACAATTGAATCAGATTTCTTAATAGAATCAGATTCTTTTTCAGTTACTGGGCAACTTTCAGAGTTTGAAAATAAACCCATATTTTTTTATAATGCAATTTAATTTTTTTATATTAAATAATCTTACATTTTTCAATAAACACTTTTAAAAATAATATTAAAAACAAAAATATTCAAAAAATCAAACAGGAAACAAACAATTTAATCAAAAAAAATTATATATTCATTATAAATAATTTATTGATTTCAAACTAAAACTATTGAATAAGTATTTTAGAAAAATACAAAATTTATAAAAAGATTATATTTTCTTTTTTTTTAAAAAATAAAATATAAGAACATTTTATAACATTATTCCAAAATTCCGCCTATTAAAGAATATTTTTCATATTTTTTTCAGAGGAAAATAATGTATTTAAAATTATAAAATATTTAAATTTACAATAAATTATAAAGTGTAACAAATTAAAAAAAATCTAAATAAATATTATGATTTTTAAAACATCAATACATTTCCATTATATTTATATTTTATATTTTAAGACATAATAAAACCTTTTTTAAAAGTATATGTTATACAAAATGAATTAAAAAAATAAATTTAAAAACAAATATAATGTATCTTTTATAAAACATTTTCTAATTATTTCAAACTATGTAAAAATCAATCATTATCTAAAAATTTCAAAGTAATAAAACATAATAAAAATATAATTTCTAAAAAATATTTAAAATATTATATTTATTTCTCAATATAATTTTTAATTACTAAAATTAAAATACATATAAAAATAGGAACTAACCATTAAAACACTATAAAAAGTCTTACTTTTTATCTATTATGAACATTTATAGAAGTAACTACTAAAAAATTAAAAAAATAAATATATATTAATAATATAAACCAAAGAACAATTACATAAAGAATTGTTTGTAAATTTTCTATATATACAAATTATATTATCAATAACATATCAAAAAAGCCATAAAACTGGTAATTTTTATATATTTAAAACGTTTTAACATTACAAAATAACTATGTCAATATACAAAAATTATTCCTCGAATACTAATATTGATGTTTTGATAAAATATTTATTTGTAATTAAACAGATAACATGCAATTACTAAAAACAATCTATTAAAAATAAGATAATTATTGAAATGTTTTAAATACATATGTAATTAATTATTTTAATCAAATTTTATAACTTTGAAGGAAATTTATAACCCATTATTTTTCAAACTCATTAAGAATTATTACACATTTAAAATCTATTCCCTTTTACAAAAAATATAGCTCTACTTCTAATACTTTAGTCTTTTTTATACTAATATTTTATAATAGTACTAAAATCTAATTAATCTACACTTAAAACATTAAAAAAAAATCAAAAAAATATTTTTTAAATATTAAGGTATTTAAAATATTCTATTTTAAATGACAGAAGAGACCGTAATATATATATAATTTATTTTATTTTCTTTAATTATGTTAGGTATCTTCTAAATTTATTGTTAAATATAAACATGAAGATAAAAAAATATGCAAACTACATTCAAAATCATTTAAAATACCAACCAAAAGCGAATCAAACACAGATTGCATATCAAAAGATCTTAAAAATTTAAGATTTCTGTCTGCTCACAATACTCATTTAATTCATGAAAAATCTGAAAACTTAAATAAATTCCTACATGTTCAAAAATTTAAAAATAAAAAACCTATACTATGCAACAAAGAAACAAAAAAAAATAATAATGCTATCAAGCGACAAAGAATTTTCTGTGAAGATAATATTCAATCTGATGATGAATTTCCTATTATATCTACCAACACCAATAACAATTATAATAAAGGAAAAATAAAAAATCCATTTATAGTATACAACTCAAACAAAATTATAGAAAAAGGTTCAAATTATAATTTTTTATCATATATTTTTTCAAATTTTAAGCCAACTCTAAGTACCAAACCAACATATTCATTCGCAAGGACACTTATCTCATCTTCATTTAATAATACAACAAAGACAGAAAATTCCCTTTTATTGGACTGGTCTCCATCAAAAAAAAAGAATACACCGTTTTTAGAGAAAGGTCTTGCAAAAACAGTATTAAACTGGATAATAGAATACCAATTAAAAAATACATTACATGATTATTCTAATACCAAAACAAAAGAATATACATTTGTAATTACAGAAGCAAAAAAAGATGCAAATATGAATAATATATATTTTTATGGCTATGAAAAATCCACAAAAATAATCGAAATACTATTTCTTTTAACAGAAAAATACTTAGAACAAAATAAAATAGATGAAGGAACACTGTTATTACTATATGAACCAATAACTAGATTTCAAAACATTTTTCCTCAAAACATTATAATATGCGTCCATTGGAATCATTATAAAAAATTAAAATAAATTACAATTCTAAAGGTTCAGATTATGATATTAATAATTAAGTTTCTAGCCAATAAAAGCTTTATACACAAAATCATACAACTAATTTCTGAAAAAAATACAAAAATCTTAACATATTTAAAAACATTAATAAACATTTTCTTCAAATATACACAATATATATTATAGGAACAACCTTTTAATACCTTTTGTTTACTAAGTATTTGCACAAGCAATTAGCATAGTACCAATTTATACAGTAATTGTATTAGCTTGAAATAACTTTAATAGAACATTTTTTCGTTTTTCATTCACAACTTTTTTATTTAATAATTTAGAATTAATAGTCTTTATATTCTAATAATACATTAGTAAGCATTAACATCCAGAAAAACATTAATAACCTTTGCAACTGGTTTATTATAATTCACTGCTCTAGAAGCTAATTTTGAAGTAATAACATTTGTATTTAAAATTTCTCCTAAAGGATTTTCTTTATTTTCAAGTTGAAAATTATTATTACTAAATAAATTGCGCTTTTTTTGAAAAAAAGATCCATTAGAAAACAATTTTATTAATTTTCCTCTAGCATTAAACGTCAAAGATGAAGAAGACTCTTTTAACACATATCTACTCGATGTTCTATCAACAACATTTGTAAGACAACTAAATCTTCTTTCCATATCATTATCAATCAATTCATCTTTAAATATTTCTGCACTTTCATCCTCAATAGAAAACAAAGATTCCTAGAACAATGTAAACTTAATTATAAATAAATATATAAAAAATTACTTCTTCTAGATGTTTACTAGAATACAATGTTTCAGATTTAAACGTATTTTTGACAATATTATTATCAATATTCAAAGTAGTATTAGAAAAAGTTAAACTTGTAGTATCATCTATATTTTCTTGTGTTTTAAAAGACTCGTTATCAATGAAATCTATAGAAAGCGGCAAATTTTCCTGATTATCTTCTATCGTAGTTAAAAATGCCTTCATTTTAGGATTATCAGCTATATAAAATTAAAAAATAGAAATAAAAACACAAAATTACCCATAAAAGAAAGATTTTGATTATCCAAGAGTTTTTGTTTTATGATATAAGCCCTTTTATTGCGTCTTTTAAGCGTTTCTTTCTCATCGTCTAAATCATTCAAACCAAAAAACATACCACGTCTTTTTCTCAAATTGCCTGTTGTTATGTCATTAAGCAAATTATTAATAATTTTGGAATCATCCTCCATTTCTTTCTTCCTAGACTAAGTTAAAACGAATTGACAAAAAAAAAAAAATACATATAATATGCTGCTATATCAGTTACGTCTATATCCTGAGGAGAAATTGTATTGTCAATAATATCTTCAATTTCCTTATTATCTAGATCATCATCATCATCATCACTTGCTCCTCCCAAACCCGCATATTCATCATCAGATTCTTGGGCTTGATCTTCAATAAAGTCTTCAGGTTTACATATAAAATGCTTATTATCAACTCCATGACTATATTTAGAAGTTGTATTATAAAGAATATTGTTATTATTATTTTCAATATCATTATAATCTTCATCATGTGAATTTCGTAAAACAAGGCGCTTTTTTCTTTTTAAATCCCCTTGAATTAAAACACCTGAAGATAATTCTGCATTTACACTAGAGTTAAGTGCATTATCCAAATGAGGATATCTAGAAGATAGAGAAGAATTACAAAAAACTATATCCGAAGATGAAGGATCAAACATGGATAATTGAATATTTTGAAATTCCCTAAAAATAATTATATAAAATTAAAAAACTTAAATAATACTTCTCGACTTTTTCAAAACCACTGTTAAAAGAACATAACAATTTGCAATTGGCATTATTTAAATCATCCGGTATTTTTAAATCAACATCCGTATTCATCTATCAAATGTATTTTAAATATATTTCTAAAATAAAATACACATACTTGAAATGACTCAGAAGGCGTTTTATTAGATAAAAAGTGAGCATTCAAAGCACTATTTTCCACTTCTTTATCAACAGCATTATTTTGTAATTGAAGATAACCATTAATATTATTAATAGATAAAGAAGAAATCCGAGAAAGATTAAGAGTATCCCCAACATAATCCTGCAAGCATTTAACATTATCAACGTCATATTCATCATCCTCCATTATAACTCTACAATTATTATTCCGAAAAGCTCTTGTTTTAATAATAGTGTCTTCCATCTCATCTGAAATATATAGAATTCCTTTTGGTTTTGTATTCAATGAATCTAAATGATAGGATTCATCAGCGTCATACATCACAGTAGCATCTCTAATATCCCCCAAATTAGCATCATTATCCTATACAGTATTAAAAAAATAAACAATAAATTTTAAACAAACTTTATCGTCATTATCAGTATAAATAATCCCATTACCACTATTACTATAAACATCCTCATTATCGTTTTCAACATTATAGTCAATTGTTTCATTACTTTCTTCACCACTCTGAACATCACTTATTTCCTCATCCCATACATCAGTACAATCACTATTATCATCATTATATATCCTATTCTCTTTTTTTCTGATTTTCTCCGCTTCTAATCTTGCCTTTTCTACCAAGTCTTCTGCTTGAACAATTTCTTTTGCCCTTTCCTCAAAAGTTAAAATAATGCCTTTCTGTTTAAATTCCTCTTCACGCTCAAGACGCTCAGATTTAACTTGCTCAGCAGCCTTCATTAATAATTCACGATCAAACAAATTATTTTTAATTCGATTATATTGACTTGGCGAGCCAAGCCTAGCTAGTTCGGAATAAGAAACAGAAGTATTTCCAAAACGTGAAAACAGTTTAGGATCATCCTTATGAATTTTAGAATCATAAACTAAACATTCAACTTCTAATTCAGAGTCTGAGGTATTTTCAGAAACAGGTGTTTCAAATATATTTTTTTTTTGATTTTTATAATTAACAGAGTTAATTTGTTTAGAAGTTAAACAAGATCTTCCAACTTCTAAAAATTTCGCCTTAATATCTGGTTTTTCAGAATTTGAGAAAAGCTGTGTTTGATCTTTAGGAGAAATATCAAGGGAATTATTATTTTTATGAGACAAATTATTATCTATAAATGAAATATTTGACCCAGTAGTATAAATAGTGTCAAAATTTTCATCAGAAATCTTCTTTTCTAGAAGCGACTCTTGAGAAACATCAAAACCATAACCCACATTTCTTAAGAAACTCAAAATAGATGTTTTTTTATCAACCCTTGTCTCAGGAACCAATGCCATATCTTACGCTGCTGTTAAAAACAGAAATAAAACTAAAATAAAAATAAAAAATACCTCTATTCATTCTTTCTGTTTCCCTTCGCATCCCTTCTATCACTTTTTTAGTAGGAACCTAATAAAAATCAACAAAATAGAATATTTTCAAATTAAATACTTTTTTTAAAATTTCAGTCTTAGCCGAAGAATAATCCTTTTCAAATTTAGAAGAATGATCCAATGATACATCATCAGAAGACGGATTTACTTTTTGTATTTCTAAACGTGTATATTTTTTTGAACTTAACTGTGATAAACACATTTTTTCTTTTAATTCCAAACATTCCTTAGATTTTACATTATTAGATGACACATATTCACTAGAGTCAGATATCGGTTTCTCAAATGTTTCTAAAAACAAAGGTACATCCAATATATTTGATGCATCCCTATTTAAATATTTCTCACAACAATCTTCTCTTTTTTCTTTCTTATAAAAATGTCTACTAATATTATGATAATTTTTATCATTTTTAATAACATTTTTATTAATAAGCATATTTTTTACTCGTTCATAAGCACCATCTTTTGTAGAAACAACATCTAATGACGAATTCTCATTTAAATAAGTATTATGGTTCTTTCCAGGAACATCGGCATATTTTCCAACATCAATAAATTGCTTAGGACTATTTGACAAAGAACTATCATCTTTACTATCATATAGTTCAGATTTATCCATATCGAATTTTGCTAACATAGCTTTAACTTTAGATCGAGGAGTAAACTCAGAATCGAAACAAGATCTAGGACTTGAAGGAGATGAACAAAATGAACTTAATGAATCTGATATTTCATTTTGATTTTGTTCTATAAAATTCATAGCATTATCAATATCATTTAAAGCTTGGGATTCCCTATACGGTTTTTGCAAAGAAGCCCAATTATAAGACCCAAAGCCATTCATTCTTTTCCTTAAAAGTCTAATAAAATATTATTTACTGACAAATACATGTTTTCTTAATATTTACTTTTTTATCTAAATAATTTCGAGACGCGCTCAAAGTAATAAAATTATACATGAAATATTAAAAAAAATATAATTATAAAAGTACAACTTATCAATATGCTCAACATACAAATACAACAAAAATTCATTCATGGAAATTAGATAAATAAATGTTTATAAACAACAATATATATATCATTTGCGATTATTTGTCATTGATCTATTATTTGCTTGAGCTGCAAACATCATTTTAAAACCATTGCATAAGGTATTCATATCTCCATAAAGATTTCCTTTCAAAGAGAATGCATTAGGAACAACTTTTACTGACTGTAAAAAATTAACCAAAGTTCAGATCTAAAATTTTTATAAACTTTACCCAACTAACAACTTTGGATTTCAAATTAGCCTTAAAACAAAGATCAAAAAAACCAGGATATTTAGGATTAAAACAAAATGCATAACAAGATCTTCTTGGATTGGCCTCTGAATACCTATTAAGCCATTGTTCTAGAATTATAATTAATAAATTCGAAAAAGTCAATATTTTACGTACCCGTTTCTGCCCTAGTACCTTTTTGAAATTTTTCATTTGTAGTCATTTCGTCAACTTTTCGAGCAATTGACTTAATATGTGAAACTATAAGCTCATCCAAATCACTATAAAAATAATTCTGTTCCTTTCCACGTACACGTAACTGACGACCTACAGAAAACTCATTTTCTTTATCTAATTCAAGAACATCTATTTAAAGTCAAAACTAAATCTTAAAAAAATATTAAATATAAAATACCAATATGCTGATAAATCCCTTCCGAAACTTTCCATGTTATAGCAATATGATCAGGTCCACTTGATGATGGACGAATTACTACATCACCACGCTGCATACCAGCCAAATAATCTTCGGCTTGTCGAGCATTAAATGGTCTAAAAAGAGGATGTTTAATAACCCTAGTTATTCGCTGTTCTGCTTCCCTTCTTAATGCAATTTTAGACTTATCTTTTTCTTCAGCAATACTATCCCATTTAAATTTTCTATTCAAAGAGCTATCTTTTTGATTTTTATATGCCTCTTTAATAGACGAAGCTTTCGTTGATAATTCCACAGTAAATTTCTGAAAATTTAAAGATAAAACAACTGCCTGAACGGTGTGCCCATATTGCAAAACTTGCGAAGGTAAAAGATTATAATTATCAGTTACTTGTGAACTAGAAATATTTCCATCTATTCCACAATTTAATCTTACGGTAACATGTTTACTTCCAATTTTTTTAACAGTAACAGGAATAACGGAACCAGGCTTCAATGATTCTGGAGTCTCTCCAGTCAACATAGTAAAAATTTCTTGATCAGTGATATCTTTGTAATCTTTACGAAGTTCTTCATAAGGATTTTGGAGCTCATCTCTGATAGTCTCGAGAGTATTCCTTTTTAATTGTTGAAAAGCCTTTTCGAGCTGCTCAGCATATTCCTCCAATATAAGATCACTAAGTTTATCTGGATCATCATTCATAAGATATGCCACAACTCCTCCACTAGAATCATATTCTTCAACATCTTCTTCATCTAATTCTAAAGCATCAGCAGCCATTTTTCTAGCCAATTCATAATCTTCTGGATGTACTCTTGTACTATCCAAAATCTCACTAGAATCTGATATTGAATTATCATCATACGGTATTTTAAAAAAACTAGCACAATTTATAAAAATATTTTTTGTTAGAATAGATTTTGTAATAAATTCAGCACGATTCGAAATATATCCACCAACAGCAGAAATACGTTTACACAAACTCTGAGCTTTACGAGGACCTAAACCACATACATATGGCAAAAGATTTAATTTATATGAAGATTTAACAACATCATTTATATCGACACCTACTAAATTTACGATATCTACAATTGCAGTTTCCAAAACTCTTTGTAATTTATCTTGGGGGATCTATTGATTTTATTATTATTCAAAACTCTAAAATAGTCTACTTACAAGATGTTGCCATGGATGAAAAGATATAGATGTAATATCGTTTCCCATTGCCGCATATTCCATAAGCGGACTCTGCATATATCTAGCGAGAGATACACAATATTTACCTAATGAAGATAAATTAGGGAATTCCTTATTAGCTCTTTCGCTATTTTGATAAAGTCTAGCAACATCATCATTAACATATACGACTCTTATATGATTGCTATTATCGTTTTGTTCTATATTAATATTATCAACAAGATCTTTTAAACTTTTACGAAGAAACTCGACAGAAATACTGAATCCAGATACACCAATAACATCTGGATTTCGGCGTTTTATAAAATCAGATAATTCCTTTTTGGAATTCTCTTCATGTATATCAGAAATTCTAATATGTTCTAATACTTTTCCATCTTCATTAACAAATACACATGAAGTATCATCTTTTGTAGCATCACCTCTGCCATTAGAAACTGTTAATACACGCGGAACTTCCCCTTTATCTAGAGACTTTACAGGATATGGTGTACGATCAAGTTTATCCAAAAATTTTTTTCTACAAAAAAAAGCAAGGGCATCTTCACAATCACTTTTTAAATTCTCCTTAATTGTTTTCTCAATAATTGGAATGATCTTATCAAATAAATCAGTTAATATTAATTTCCGTTGATCATTCCAGGCAGATGCTATTTCACTAACATTATCAGAAGTTAATAACTCAAACATCTCATAAAATAAATTATCATATCCATCCAAATGAATTCTAATCTTAACCAAATCCTGATCTTCTGCATTAATCATTTGAAGATAAAAATCAGGATTATGAGTCATATTTTCCATAGAAATATGACGAGCGTACTTGAAAAAATAAAAAGGATGATCATTATCTATTTTTCTAATGCCCTTTTCAGTTGGTTCGACATCAATATAGCCTTTTCTAAAGTAAATTGTTCTAATTGCTTTTCTAACTTGAGGATCATTAAACAATTCATCAACTACAAGTCTTCTTGCTACTAATATTCTAATTAAAAAAAATCATAACAAAAACTACACATACCAGCCAAAGCAACAGTAGCAGAAGAATAATTAGAATTTACAATATATTTTCCCGCTAAAATCTCAGGCCATTTATCAGGGTCCTCAGGAAAATATCTTTTAGTATTTTCCAAAAAATTTTTTCCAATATGTTCAGGAGGTAATCCAAAAGCCTGAAAAAATTAACCAACATTTGTCCCTTAAAAATACAAACACGTACTCTGACAAGATTATAAAAATCTTCTTTTCTTATTTTAGCATAAAAAGAATATTTATTTGAAGGCCTCTTAAAAGTAAATCCTTGAGATATATTCATATCTTTTATATTTTCAGAATATCGAAAATATATATAATCGTGAAGATCTGTAATTTCTTCAAGAGATTCAATTTTATCAATATATTCCTCAAATAACTTATCATTGATATTAAAATTCTTAAAAGTTTCAAAAAGAAAATTCCGTTTTTCAACAAGTGAACGAAACTTAACATCAAGATCAAGAATTTTCCATAAATCACCTTGTCTTAACAAAGTATGAACCTTAGTTGTTTTCCTTTCATCATCGCTCTTTTCTGAAAAGAGTAAATAATCTTTTCTGTTTTGCCATATAAACGATGGCTCAAAAAAATCATTAATATAAAAATCAATAACATTTTTCACAGCTTTTCTAAAAGGTTTCTCAAGAGAAGAATCTATATCAGTACGCATAAGAAGCATACGACTCGAGATCCATTCATATTCTTTTAAAATATCATCATCGGAAAGCTGTAAATGATAATATGGAGCTCTCAAAATTTGCATACGTTCTGGAATATCAGTAATTCTGATAATTTCATCCATATCCGTAAGCATACGCTCGACAATTTCACTATGCTCAAAAACATCATACAAAGAAATATCTTTTTTCTCATATTGCTCAGAATCCTCATTTTCAAGAGCATAAGCATAATCCCCACCATCCCCAAAGATCTCAAAAACCTGAGCATGTGCATCACTATCTATTCCAATACTTTTAGAATAAATTTCTCCATGAAATGCTTTTTCATGTCGATTTTCTTTTTCATCATCTAAATCATCACCAAAATCATCATCTTCAATAAAATCTGCAAATTCATCAGAAAATCCAACAGATTTGACATAGGCTCTTTCATCCACATCACTTTCATCTTTATCCGAAAAAATATCTGCCAAATCCTTAGACCTAAATTTTTCTTTTCGACGTTTTAATCTTTTAAATTTGGGTTCATCTCGTGCCATAAAAATCCCTGTATTCTCCATAACAAGATCTAAATCCTCTTCATCAAGTTCTTCATTATCCATATTCCTATCTTTATCATTTGTTCGTTTTCTTCTCTTATGTCGTATCTTTATCACATCTTCATCTCCTTCCTCCTCTTCCTCCTCATCATCATCAACAATAAACCCTTCCTGAACCTTTAAAATCCATTAAAATAATTCATATAACGAAAAGTATTATTCTATAGAAACCTTTCTTTGTTCTTCTTCATCCTCTTCACTCGAATCTATATCATCATCCGAACTGTCCTCTTCATCATTCTCTCCCTCTTTCTCCTCCCAATCCTCGTTTTGGTTTTCTTCATCTTCAGGATCTTTATATTCCATTGATAATCTTTGTTTAAAGCTTCGACGATATCAAATCAACTCTCGAAGAAACAAAGATAAATCTTTTTAAAAGATAACATTAAAATACATAAAAGTAAAATAAAAAGGAGGAATATTATTAAAAATAAGGAAATATATTCTTTTTTATTTATTATAACATTGATGAAAAGCCTTTGAAAATAATATTAACTTTTTAAAAAAGTAAATAATTAAAATAAAAAATAAAGCTAAAAAAAAAAGTATATAATTCTAGAAAAAAGAAAGATATTCATATATATATAAATATAAAGAAATGAAAAATGGACTTTTATCGAAAAAAAAACAACGAAATTTCAAACAATTAACACTACCTTCACAAACACGCAGAGAGTCATCGCAAATATTATTAAATACACATTCATCAAGAAGCACAGATGATTCTCATAGGTACCATAATAGTCTTTTGGAACAACTTGAGATTCTTGAAATTGGAGTTGAATTTAAGCTTAATTTGTGCCAAGAAGATCTTCAAATATTGGGTGATATTGGAGCAGGAAATAGTGGTACGGTAACTAAAGCTCTTCATCTTCCTACAAAAACTATCATAGCTAAAAAAGTTCTATTATACAAAAATTTAATAGACTTCTAACTTTTTTAAAGGTTATACATATCGAAGCAAAACCTACTGTCAGAAAACAAATACTTAGAGAGTTGCAAATCATGCATGATTGCAATAGTCCATATATAGTCTCGTTTTATGGAGCATTTATGAATGGAAATGATATTAATATTTGCATGGAATACATGGATTGCGGGTAAATTTCTTTTTTTTTTTTTCAACATTTAATACTAATATTATTCAGCTCTTTAGATAGGATATCTAAATATGGAGCTATAGAAGTGAATATTTTAGGGAAAATTAGCATCGCGGTTTATAAATGATAATTATGTTTATATACATATATATTTATTTAAATTAGGTTGTAGAGGGACTAACATATTTATATAATGTTCATCGAATAATTCATAGAGGTCAGATCCTTATAATAGATGATTATGAATTGAAAATGTTAGACGTTAAACCAAGTAATATTCTAGTTAATTCTCACGGACAAATCAAACTTTGTGATTTTGGGGTATCAGGAAAGCTTATAAATTCAACAGCCGATACGTTTGTGGGTACTTCGACATATATGTCGGTAAAGATATCTTCCTTTATTTTCTAAATCACTTTTAATTCATTAGCCTGAACGTATCCAAGGAGCAAAATATAGCGTTAAATCTGACGTTTGGTCTCTCGGAATGACTCTTTTGGAATTGGCCATTGGACGTTTCCCATTGACATCAAACTCAGATGCTCCTACTGCTGGAACTATGGGAATCTTAGACCTATTACAAAGAATAGTACACGAATCTGCTCCAACTTTACCAAAGGGGAAATTTCCAGAAGACTTAGATAATTTTATTAGTACATGCCTCAATAAAGATTTAAAAATACGACCTAATCCTCAGGAACTTTTGGTTATTTTTTTTTTTAATTAAAATATATTTTAACAAATAATCAGGATCATCATTATATAATAAACTCGCGGAAACAAGACGTTAATTTAGAAGCATGGGCCAAAGAAATGCTCAAGTAATATGAAACAAATGGAAAATTATAATTTATATATGTACATTTTTAACACCGTATCATATTTTACAGCGGGGAGTTTTAAACAATTATATAACATATGCTAATTCCATATATATTTAATTCACAATAAATTCATTCATAAAAAAAGGTATATCTGATAATAATTCTTTGCCGTCTTTATAGATTATTTTGAATATTTATATATCTCTGATTTATTAGTTTCTAATATCCCAGGACACAAAAGAGCATATTTGTATTCTAAAACTTTTTTTTTTTCAATAATAGATTTAAATTTTGAAAACATCCCGATTTTATGAATAATTTACAATGTCTATATTTTTTTCGCCCTTGATACAAAATATATATTCCAAGGATACCAAAAGTTAGTATGCTTGTAAGTTTGCATGAAAAGCATTGATTCTTTTCCAATATCTCTCCTGTATTTTTTTCTGTCATTGTAATTTAAACTTTATACAGAATTCGAAAAAAATCACTTTAAAAATATTAATTAAAAAAAATGAACTCTATAAAGACTTTATTCATCCTTAATAAAAAAGGGTTAATTATTCTAAGATAATTATTTTTTTAAATATCTAATTTAATTAGAAATATAATTTTTGAACACCATTGGTATGGGCATACTTCAAAAAATATTGTCGCTTTATTTATATCAGAATATAAGAAAAATATATTTCATGAAAATTCACATATACCTATTATATCATGTAAAGATGGCATCTTAATTCATATAGAATACAACAATATTATTCTTTTGTGTGTAATAGCATCAGAAATAGATCCATTATATGTTATTGAGTTCTTATATCGTATTGTAGATATTCTTGAGGAATATCTAGGACAAGATGCTACAAAAAAATTAGTTTTAGAAAAAAATTTCGAGATCATTATTCAATTATTGAACGAGATGATGGACTATGGATATCCAATGATAACTGAACCTAATGCCTTGAAAGATATCATTCCTCCTCCTGATACAGTAAACAAAATATTAAACATAGCTGGACTGAAGAGGTATTAACTACTCTTATTTTATTTTTAAACTAAAATTATAGATCTTGTATACCATCAGGTATTCTATCCCCAATTATATGGAGAAAAGCAAATGTAAAACATTCAAGAGATGATTTCTTCATAGATATAATTGAAGAGCTCAAGGCAATAATTAATAAGTATTATCTAAAAAATTATTATATTTTTTTTATTCAAAATAGACATGGAAAATTTATAACTTTATTTTCAAAAGGAAAAATTATATGTCTTTCCAATATTTCAGGTAAACAATATACAGAAGAATCTATTTTAACTATTATAGGTGTTCCTAATATAATTTTAAATATGAAATCTAAATATCATCTTTTTTATTCATCATTTCATCCTTGTTTATATTCATCACATCAAACACCATCATTAGAACAATTATCTTTCATACCGCCTGATGGAAAATTTACCTTAATGACTTATGGAATTGAGCTTTCTGATATGCTTCCTTCATCTTTACCAATTTCTATTGAAATAAAATCTGGTCCAAATGTTGGAGATTTCGAAATAAAATTAAATATTTTTAATCACCTTATCAACAATATCACTATTGCTATTCCAATATCAGAATCATGTCAGTTAAAATATTCAAAATCTACACATGGAAATATTATATTTGAATCTAAACATGAAAAAAAAAAGATTATATGGAAATTAAACAAGACTGAAACTTGTTCTTTTGCTTCTATGAAATTTACCCTTGATAAAATGAAAATTCCTCCTAATTATCTTATAACAAAATTTACATGTACTGGATGGATTATTAGCAATATCAAAGTAGAAAGTCTTAAAATAATAAGCAATCCAGATGCCAAGTATTATAAAGGCATTAGGTAATCTTCTAAATATTTAAGTAAGTTTTTATTAATATTTTTTCAAGATATACAACTGTAGCAAATGAAATAGTAGTAAGATTTTGAACTTAATCACATATATTTAATTAAACCACATTTTTCAAAACAATTTATTTATAATTAATCTATTATTTTATTATCATATATTTATACTTTAAACATATCGACAACCATCTTTTTGTAAAATATTAAAAAACCAAGATTTTTGTGATTTTGAATCAAAAAAATGATAGACGATTTGTCAGACGAACTTTTAGCATTGGCAGGTCATAAAGATATTGAAACTGTCCCTCAGAAAAAAAAATCAGGCCATAAGAAAAAGGCATCTCAAAAACAATTTCAAGATAAAAAATATAATGGAAATTATAAAAAATCTTTAAGAAACAATGATGATTCAAATGGTGAATTGTATTCAAGCGAGTATAGCACAGAAAGCGAGAACTTGATCTCAAGAGAAGATGACGATAATGATTACCTTGAAGAATACACTGTTCCTTATGTTCTAGAAGGCAAATTCAAAGATGAAGAGGATCGTAAAAGGTATTTGTTAAAAATGATCATTTGTATCTAAAAAAATCGAAAGGATAATGGGTATGAATGAAGTGGAAAGAGAATCTATTCTTTATGAACGAGAAGAGGAGGTAACCTATAAGATATTCGCAAAAAAAGTTATATACGTGTTTAGACACAAAAATTACAAGAAAAAAAAGAATTAGCAAAGAGAATAAGGCAAGAAAAATTTTCTATAAAAAAAGAATTAAAAACAAGACGTTAGAATCCAGTTTATAAACACATTTGCTAATTATTATAGGGTCTGCACGAGAAACAAAAGGAAAAGGAGAGGAGACTGCTTCAAAAAGAGACAAATTAACAGAGCTTAAGAGAAAAAGAGAAGAAAAATCCAATAAAACTGACTCGAAAGTATGCAACTATTCTTACATGTATTTTTGTACTTATTTCAAATAGTTGGATGATAAAACGTTCAATAAAAGAACGAAAGAGGAACTAGACAAGAAATATGGAAATAAGCATGGCTCCAGAAGTTTCGAAGATAAAGAAGATTCTTCTGTCCTTGATTTGAATGATGTAAATAATACTAGACTTGGAAGAAAACATTTTGCAAAGTTTCTTTTTCATCCTCTATTTGAAGGAGTTATAGCAGGTATAAATTGATATAATATCAAAAAGTATATGATTGAAATTTTTAGGTTGTTTTACTAGAGTAAAAATAGGTGAAAACCCTCAAGGTAAAAGTGTATATCGAGTTTGCCAAGTTAAAGGTATACTATTTTTACTAAAAAATATGGGAAAATCTAATTATAACTAAGGGTTACAACCTAGTGCAAAAATCTATTCTTTTGAAGGGGTACTTTCTAATCAAAAACTAGAATGTATACATGGTGCAAGCGTAAAAACATTTGAAATAACATTTGTTTCGAATTCGGCTATTACTCAAGTAATATTGTCAAACATATTGAATTTCTTTAATTTATTTAGAAAGAATTTGATAGATGGACACAGCAACTTAAGGAAGATAAAATAGCTACACCTAAAAAATCATTAATTGAAAAAAAAATAACAGAACTTAGTCTAATGACACAACATAAATTAACAGACGTGAGTTTTTCCGCCAAAATTTATAAAATATATAACTTTTTCAAGTCAGAAATATCAGATATGATAGCACGACGAAAAGCGTTACAGAAAATTCCAGGAAATATAGCTATAGAGAAAACACAGCTAAAAAAAACTAGAGATATTGCAATTGCTCATGGAGATGAGAAAGAAGCACAAAGATTAACGGAAAAACTAAATACTCTTGAAGAATTGTCAGAAAAACGAAGACATATTTTGACTGATTCAGATAAATTTGCAAAATTAAATGAAAAAAATAGGAAAGCCAACCTAGATACAATTAGACAGGCAGAAATTCAAGCTAATGAGGAACGTAGAAAAAAAGGTAATGTTTATTAATATATATACAAATAATTTTTAATATTATAGATTCTTCCCCGATATTAGTAAATCCATTCTCAAGACTTAAAACTAATCCAAAAATATTTTACGATAATATCTTAGAATTACAAGACTCTACTTTACCTAAAACTGATAATTCAGATAAAAACATACAAACAGTTGACGCTTATGCAAAAATAAATATAATAGATACGAAAGAAACAGAAAATACAAAGACAAATATACCAGAAAACACAACACCTAAAACTATAAGAATAAAAACTCTTAATAACATTGATGAGATAATTTCTCAAAGCAATTTCGATTTAGATTTTGATATATAATGTTAAAATTATGGTCTAATTTCTTCCAAATATATACAAATTGAAAATTAAAAGCAAAAAACATTAACAATAAAAGAATTAAAAATGTTGATTCGTATTTTTTAATTTAAATAATCCGAAAGTGTCCAATTGCTTTTAAATCCAGCTAATAATATAGATGCTATTACAAATGATATTAATCCAAATAAATAGAAGCACCGCTTCCCCCATTTTATTTCTTCCTCTTTAACATATTCAAAATACATTTGTTGCTGTTCATCTTTAAAATGATTCTTTTTAAAAAATCCATAATGTATTAATCCAATATATGCTCCAATTAAAAGAATAGGAAATGGAAATAGAATTCCCCAAAAAAACAACTTAATTCTTTAATATATTTCAATTAAACTTATAAATATCACCTTATAGCATTTTGTTCCAGAAAATGCTCCTATCTGAGATTCATTTAAATTTAAAAGGTCAAATAATTCTTTTTTATTTTTAGCAGATACACTGGCTTGATAGGAAGGAAGTTCATTATTATCGGACATTTTTATAATAAACAATTTTTAATTCATGAAATATTTCAAATATTATATTTTATTTACATGCTATTTATAATTAGACATTAAAAAAACAATACGTTTTTATTGACATGAATTCCTATTATTCCAGTCGAACTCCACTCAAAAATCTATTATTTAAAAAATCAAAAAAAATTAAAAAAATATAAAAAAAAACACAATTCTTCATAAAACAAACTTTCCACAAAAAACAAAAATATCCATTATTTACATAAAAATCTTTTTTTACTTATAATCCTATCAATGATTTAATTTCATATATAGATAAAAGTTACCATAACAACAGAATCAAATGAAATTATGTAAAATATATAAAAAGGATAAATGAAGGAACAAGTTGTAGACCAACTTCCGAAGCAGATTAAACATATTGAATTTGGCGTATTTGGGCCAAAGGATATAATAAGACAGGGTGTTTTAGAGATTTCAACAAGAGAACTATATAATATAGTAGATAGATCTACAGTACATAATGGAGCTCTTGATAAAAGGTAAGTTTTTAATGATATTTTAAATATATTTTTCTAAAAAGATGTCAAAGAATGGTAAGAGAAAAATTTAAGAGGATTAAGAAAAAGTTGTTGAAATATATCTAAATATACTTAGGGAACCTCAGATAAACAGACACTCTGTGAAACTTGTGGAGAAAAAATGGTAACATGTGTTGGTCATTTTGGATATGTGAAGCTAGTACTTCCAGTGTTTCATATAGGATATTTTAAGACTATTATTACAATACTTCAGAATATTTGCAAGGTAAATTAAAAATTTATAAAAAATATAATATATTATAGGATTGTTCAAAAATATTATTAGAATTAAAAGATATTCATAGTTTTTTGAAAGAATTAAGAAAAGCAGAAGCGGATAATCTAAAAAAATCACAAATATGCAAACGTATAAATGACACATGTAAAAAAATAAGAATATGTCCTAATTGTCAGAGTACGCAAGGTGTTATTAAAAAAGTTGGAGCATTAAAAATAATTCATGAAAAATTCAAATATAATAAAAAAAATAGTCAAGAAGAAATAGAATTTCGAAAAACTTTTGAAACAGTTTTGAATTCTACACCTGATATGAAAACTCATCTTTCCAAGGCTCATGATGATCTAAATCCTCTCAAAGTCTTAAATTTATTTAAACAAATTCCTCCCATGGTAATATCAACTATAAACATTTTGTACTGTTTTTAATTGTCATAGGACTGTGAACTTTTAGGTATAAATTCATTAAAAGGCAGACCAGAAATGTTTATTTGGCAATGTATACCTGCCCCTCCTGTTTGCGTAAGACCATCTATTTCTCAGGATGGCGCTAGCACCGAAGATGATTTAACAGTTAAACTAACAGAAATCATATGGACCAACTCATTAATTAAAAGTGCATTGGAAAAAGGAACTCCTATTCAAAATTTAATGGTATTTTTTTCATTTTTTTTTCTAAATCAAGCTAATTTTGATTAATATAAGGAACAATGGGATTACTTACAATTATGTGTTGCTATGTATATTAATAGTGAATTGCCTGGAATATATTCACAAACAAATACAAAGCCTATGAGAGGGTTCTGTCAGAGATTGAAAGGAAAGCAAGGCCGATTTAGAGGAAATCTATCAGGAAAAAGAGTTGATTTTTCTGCAAGAACTGTAATTGGGCCAGATCCTAATCTTTCTATTGACCAGGTTAATAAAATTTTATTATTTTAATTGATTAATTAATAAAGGTCGCCATTCCTGAACAAATCGCTAAAATTTTAACCTATCCGGAAAGAGTAACACATCATAATATTGAACAACTAAAAAAAGCTATAATAAATGGACCAAACATTCATCCTGGGGCGAATTATATTATAAATCAAGATAACAGATTTAAAAAATTTTTAAAATTTGGAAATCGTCAAAAAATATCATTAGAACTTAAAATTGGTGATATCGTTGAACGCCATATTCGTGACAATGATATTGTTTTATTTAATCGTCAGCCTTCTTTGCATAAACTTAGTATATTATGCCACAGAGTACACTTTTCCTTATTTTCAAATAAAAGACTCATAAAATTTAGGTAAAAGTTCGCCCATGGAAAACTTTTAGATTTAATGAATGTGTTTGTAATCCATACAATGCTGATTTTGATGGAGATGAAATGAACTTACATGTACCACAAACAGAGGAAGCACGAGCAGAAGCAATAGAACTAATGAATGTAAAAAACAACCTCGTAACGCCTCGCAATGGCGAACCAATTATTGCAGCAATACAAGATTTTATTACTGCGTCTTATTTAATTAGCCAAAAAGATAATTTTTATGATAGAAAAACATTTACACATATGTGCTCTTTTATGGTAGATGCTTGTAAAAATATTGATTTACCTCATCCCGTTATCATAAAACCAGTAACATTATGGACAGGAAAGCAGATATTTAATGTACTCATGAGACCTAATAAAAGTTCTCCAGTAATGGTCAATTTAGATGCAAAAACCAGATCATTTAGTTCTCCAAAGGGAGTGCCTGATCTTTGTGTTAATGACGGATATTTACTTATACGTTCAAGTGAAATTATGTGCGGCGTTATGGATAAATCAACAGTAGGAGATGGCAAAAAAAATTCTATATTTTATGTTATTTTAAAGAATTATGGTCCTGATGAAGCAGCAGAAGCTATGAACCGACTTTCGAAATTATGTTCAAGATGGCTAGGGAATCAAGGCTTTTCAATTGGAATAAATGACGTTCAACCAGGAGTTTTATTAAGAGAAAAGAAAGAAAGCCTAGTGAAAGCAGCATATCAATCCTGTGATGATTTAATTCATGCTTTGTCATCTGGAAAACTCGAAAATCAGCCAGGCTGTGATGCAGAACAAACATTGGAAGCAAAAGTATCTGGGATACTTTCAAAAGTTCGAGAAGATGTTGGCCAAATTTGCATGAGTGAACTAGCAAAAACAAATGCATCCTTAATTATGGCTACATGCGGTTCAAAAGGTCAGAGTTATTATATCTTTTATGCATAAATAACTCTATAGGTTCTAAAATTAATGTTTCACAAATGGTATCTTGCGTAGGACAACAAATTATTAGCGGTTCTAGAGTTCCAAATGGATTTCAGGATAGAAGTTTGCCACATTTTCAAAAAAACGGTAAATCTCTCTATAGTTAAATAAATAAACTGATTCGTTATCAGCAAAACAACCTCCTGCAAAAGGATTTGTAAAAAATTCATTTTATTCCGGCTTAACACCTACAGAATTCTTATTTCACGCTATATCTGGAAGAGAAGGGCTTGTTGATACAGCAGTAAAAACTGCAGAAACGGGATATATGTCTAGAAGATTAATGAAGTCACTCGAAGACTTATCATTACAATATGATGGAACTGTCCGTAATTCATCATCCGGAATTGTGCAATTTATATATGGAGATGATGGACTAGATCCAACTTATTTAGAAGGAGATATCTGCCCTGTCGAATTTACGAGAACATGGAACCATTGTCATGTAAATTGTGCTAAATATATAAAACAGAAAATTAATTGAACTAGAACATAACATCTAAAATACCATCGAAAAAGCTCCTTCCTTATGAAATCATGAAAATCACATATAAATATCTTGAATTTCCTGAATTTAAGGATTGTACAGAAAACTTTAAAGACTCATTATTAAATTATATTCAAAAAAATGTTGCAGAGCGTTTATCAACTATTCGAAAAAGAAAAAACCTTGCACCTTTTCTTGAAAAGCCTTCTGATTCTGAATATCAAAATATCAGCACTAACGAATTAAAAAGTTAAAGATTTTTTTCTTGAATTTTAACTGACTTCTATAGCTGATTCTGAAAAAATCGTAGATAATATTTTTAAAGTTACTGAAATCCAGCTTTTAACATATTTACAAATGTGTTTACAGAAATACATAAAATCAAAAGTCGAGCCTGGTATTCTATTTTTCCTAATATATCTACATAATTTAACTTTTTTTAGGAACAGCTGTTGGCGCAGTAGGTGCACAATCAATTGGAGAGCCAGGAACACAGATGACTTTAAAGACTTTTCATTTCGCAGGAGTTGCATCTATGAATGTTACACTAGGTGTGCCTAGAATTAAGGAGATTATAAATGCAGCCAAAGTCATTAGTACGCCTATTATAACATGCAAACTTGTAGCAGAAAATGACATACGGTCTGCTCGTGTAGTAAAAGGTCGTATTGAAAAAACATATATGAAAGATGTATATAATATTAGCTTTATTTCAATACATTAATTATAACTAGATAACAAAGTTTATAGAAGAAGTCTATGGCCCTACTTCCTCATATATTGGTATAAAGATTGATTGGAATACTATAAACAAGTTGCAAGTATAAATATTTTTTATATTGATCTTAATTTAAATAAAAATAGCTAGAAATAACAATTAATGAAATTGCTGCTTCGATTTTGCAAACACCAAAATTAAAATTTTCAAATACGGTAGTTATTATTATATATAATAACTTTAATATTAATATTTATTAGAAAATCACTGTTAATGAAGATAAAATAAAAGTATATGTATCATGTGATGATAAAAATAAAGATTTCGATGAAATTTATTACAAACTACAACATTATAAGCGGATATTGCCCCATGTTATAGTTAAGGTTATTTTCTTACAAATATATTACTCAAATTAATATAATTTCTAGGGTATTCCAACTACCTCAAGAGCTGTTATAAATATAGATGAAAATGGGAATAATACTCTTCTTGTAGAAGGGTATGGTCTTCGAGATGTAATAAATACTGATGGTGTCGTTGGAACAAAAACGTCTACAAATCATATTATGGAAATGAAACAGGTTCTTGGAATAGAAGCAGCTAGAGCTTCTATCATTAAAGAAATTGATATAACAATGAGTTCCCATGGAATGAATATCGATCCCCGGCATGTTATGTTATTAGGAGATGTCATGACATATAAAGGAGAAATTTTAGGAATCACACGATTTGGTGTAGCAAAAATGGTATAAATTCCCTTTTTATGCAAAATTTACTAAATATTATCAAGAAAAATAGTGTTTTGATGCTTGCATCTTTTGAAAAAACAGCAGATCATCTTTTTGACGCAGCAGCTCGATTAACAAAAGATTCAATAGAAGGTGTTTCAGAATGTATTATTCTTGGGAAAACAGCCCCAATTGGAACAGGAATTTTTCGTCTTATTAGAAGAATTGACATAAAAGAGCATCATAAACCCAAACCTCTTCTTTTTGATAATTCTTATTTTTATAGAGTTAATACTTTTGTAAAATGATTTTCTTATAATGTTTAACATTTCTAAATGATTAAATATTTTACCACATATATGATAAAAAAGAAAACAGTTAGTGTCTATATCATGTAAATAAATGCTATAATCATAATGATTTGAATGTTTTTTAAATAAGTATATATATTAATACTTTAGCTGTTTTTATTAAAATATATAATATACAAAAATTAAAAAAAATCGTTTCATATATATATAATTTTTTAGCATAACTATTCTTTGTTCAGACAAATTCTTAATGAATGAATAAATGCAAATTCACAAATTAGTTTCTAAATAAAACTTGAATATGTCTAGAAAACAAATATCAAAAAATACCATATTTCATATAATTATATAATCAAATATTTCAACTTTTCATTTATTTTCCATTCTTATAATAATTTTTTTAATTTCATTTTTTTATTCGTTTTCCAAAGGATCTTTCAATGTCTAAATTATCAAAAACATAGTCATTATACTTTAAAGCTGCCTTATTTTCCCTATATATAAAAATAATTAGCTATAAAGTATTATATGAAGTAAAAGATTAACCTCTTGTAATCATTTTTTTGTTTGTTTCTTATTTCAGGAAATGTAGGCAAAAGAGAAGGGTCTTGAGCTTATAACAATTAGATAACAAAATATATCAGAAAGCAATACCCAGGGGAGATTCCTGAAAATATTCATGGTTTAAAGCAGCTTTCGCCGAAATCCGTTTTTCAGGATTATAAGTAAGAAGACAATTTATTAAATCCTTTGTTGTTGTTGTTTGATTGGAAAATTTCTGTTTTATCATATTACTTTTGTTCGAAAAAAAAAGAAAGTGTCTAGAAAGAGGAAGTTTTCCAAATTCTGGCCAAATAGCTTCATTGGGGGCGCCAAGTAAATTAACTATCAATTGAACTTGTTCTGTTTCGTTTTTTCCAGGAAAAAGAGGTGCTGATGTTATTAATTCTCCTAAAATACATCCAACAGACCAAAGATCAACACTACTAGTATAATTCTTTTTTCCAAAAAGCAATTCCGGAGATCTATACCAAATAGTTACAACATGAGGAGTCATCCCATTTTCTCTATATTCCCGAGCCATTCCAAAATCAGCTATAACAATTAAATATAGACTTTTTTATATTTTAAAGAAATACCTATTTTTAGAATACCCTTTGCATTTAAAAGTAGATTAGACATTTTTAAATCTCTAAAATACAATTAATAAATAAACTGTATAAATTTTTAAAACACCTATGAATAATATTTTGTCTATGTAAATATTCTACACCTTCTAGAAGCTGCTTTATTAGGCATTTTACTAAATAATAAATATATATATATATATTAAACAAATTATACCTTCTGATTGTGTATATTTTACGCATATAGTATCCATCATACTTGCCATGTCCTCAAAAAATTAGAAATCCTTTATTTAATTGTATATTTAGACAAACTTGTTCGCAATATTCTTCTACCATATAAATATCATCAAGTGCTTCTCCTACCGCTACTTCTAAAACACTTATAATATTCTTATGTTTTAAAGATCTCAGAAGAGATATTTCTCTTAATGCTGTAATAGGAATCCCAGAATATCTATCATTATCAAAAATACGTACTGCTTTAAGTGCAACAATAGTATTGTTTCTTTTATCTTTTGCACGACTAAAAAAATAAGATGTTTTCAAATATTCATATATCCACTGTACTATACAACCCCATATGCTGTTTTTCTTATTAAATAATCATATTTTACTTAAATATTTACTTCCTTCACCAATTCTATTAAGTTTCTCAAAATCGCAAATAGATATACAGGTTCCAAGATATAAGTCTTTATAACTTATGTCTACTTCTATTTTCTCGCCAGTAACAGAATGAATCTTAAGATAAGATGGGCTCATAGTTTTAAAAGAATTTTATAAAAAATCTTAAGTCGATTTTCGACAATTTTCATTATAAAATTACAAGTTAATCTAATCTTTAAAGTTACAGAAAAATCATATATATATTGATTAAATATTATTCAAAATATATTTTTTTCGAATATATATGTATTTGAATTTATAATTTTCATGATTAAATATTTATAAAATGTTTATTTTTTTAAAATTTATACTATATATTTAAGTCATTAGAATAGTATAAACCTTTTTTTCTATGAATAAGGAAAAATCGACTAAAAAACAATATATTTAATAGTTTTATCAAGTAATTTCTCCTATATTTATATCAAATTTATAAAATTAATATACATATATATAAATATAAGTTTAAAAATTATTTTTATAAAAGTTTAATTAAAGTACAATTATTTTTTTTAATAATATATTTAATATTTTTAAATAGGTAAAATCTTTTTTATTTATTAGTCCTTTTATTTATAATTTTTTATAATGACTAAGTAAAAAATAATTTATTATTATGAATATTTTTTAAAATATGTAATTATTTAATTAGAAAATATATTCATAATAAAAAATCAAAAAGTACCTGATTAACCTGTTTGATATATTCTATAATAGAAGAATAATAATGTTTCTCAATAACATTATAAATGACTTATTCAGAATTAGAAAATTTTACTATTTAAATACAATTTTTCTAGATCGAAATGCTATTTAAATTCATATTTTTTTGAAATTATAAATAGAATTTTATATTTTTTAGGTTATAAGAAGTAAATTATAATAATCAGAAATATTAATATAAAAAATCATAAATTTATCATACACAATAAGGCTTGACACATATTAAAATGACCTTATTAGTATTAAATTGCATACAATTAATATTAATTAGAATCAATTATCTCGATATTTTTTTTGCTTATTTATCTTCCCAAAATTCATATTTATGTATTTCTTTTTTTATAAGATCTATGAGCTCAAAAATATTATCTTTATTTGTTTCCTTTTTTGTTTCTTCTGAGAAGTCCGAAAGAGTATAATTTTCAGTTTGAACACCTTTTGCCATCTTAATCAAAAAAGCAAGAAGCTGACGCCGAGATTCTTGAAAAATAAAACAATCAAGAATATCTTTTATCTAAATCTTTAAAAAGCTATATCTTTAGTTGAAACAATACATACTAAATCTTTTAATGAATCAATTCTTTTATTATTATATATAATGAAATTTTTTAAAATATGAAGTCTTTCTCTGTCAATCCTAGATTCCCTTAGCCTCTTAAGTAAATCATGAACACTTATATCATCTTCAGAATTATCTGATACAGATAAAACATCTTTATTAGGACTAATTGTACTTATTAGAGACCTAGAAGGGTCATATGAAGAACTAATAGTAAAATAATTTCCATCATCTTCACTCCTAGGATCATCAAAACACTTAAATAAATTAATTGTATATATAAAAAGAAAAAAACCAATTACACATTGTCGCTGTCTTACCCATTTTCGTCTTCTCACAAAACTATGAAACCAAATAGATGTTCCATACCATCTCTTCGACTTAAAAGAAAAAGAATATGACCATCCATCAGGATCTACATTTCCATACATGTCAATTCTCCATTTATCCCATGTCTAAATATCCAAATTAAAGATATAAATAAAAAGGTTTAATTTGAAATTACCCATCTCCAAGAGGGATCAGGACAAGTTGCAGTAAATATATTAACAGGAGAATATCTAGAGGTATGTATTATTTTTATTTTTTATAGTTAAAATTAATATATACCGGAAATTTTTATCTGTCCAAGGAGATGGATCAAAAAAAAATAATGAATTTGCTGAAAAGATTAAAGTTCCACATAAGGAGATACTAAATTATCTTAAAAAAATAATATTTAATACTTACTATATATTATTATACCCTCTTTGATTTTCATATAACACATCAACTACTGTATTTTTTTTTCCATTTTTGCATTCATTATTTTCATCTTTATCATATTCAAACACTACTATATCAACTTTATTCAAACCTTTAAATTGCATATTATCTCCGCATGGCCTTATTATTTCTTGAATTCTTTCATAATCATATCGTTGATCTTTTAATTCTATCTGATGCAAATTTCCATTTGAAAGAACCTGTTCTTTTGGAATTTTTAAAAATGATTTCTTCTTTTTAATTATCATCTATTCTGTTCAATTTATATATTTTATTAAAAATACTGACTTTTATAACTTTTTTTCTTAATTTCCATGCTTTTTATATAACTCTATTTTTTCAAACTGATAAAAAGCCTAATATAAAAACCCTGATAAAGATTAGGATCTTCTAAGATTTTATACAGGAGTTAAAAACAAATTTTATATATATTTAATTTTTATTAATTTTCTGACGTTAAATATATTATATTTTAATATAAAATTATTTTAAATATATAAAAATCATTTAAATATATAATAAAAAACTTTGTAATTCGTTTTTTTTTGAAAAGTAAAGCTTAAAAATAAATTAAACATATATTTCATTTTCATAAAAATATATTATATTTTATATTTATTTTCTAGATAAATATAAAAATACAATTAATTACCTAAGAATAAAAGAAATATATAGATAATATAATAAATTTATGATGACTATTTCATAAATCAAATTGATAGTTATAATGACGATGAATATTAAAGCAATATTTTTGAATTTTACTTTCGTATAAATAATAAAACTTAATATTTATAATTTTTTATAAAATAAAAGATCATATACTAATTTTTTTAAAAACAATTTCTAAATAACTAATTATTGTTAATAAAAAAAATATATAACAACTTAATTTATAATATTCATGATAATATTTAAAATATTTTTTTCTAAAATTACAATAATTATTTTTAATATTTTCAAAATTTATAATTTCGAATATTATTTTAATATTTTTAAAAATTGTCTTGATAATCATGGGATAATTATAGTTTAATAAGAATACTTTATTCTATTATTATTCATTATATTAATACACAGGCATATTTAATTTAAGAACCCACTATAGAATTAATAAAAAATTGTTTTAATAAATTTATTGCTATTATTTATAGATATCAATATTTTAAAGATTTAAAGATATTTTTCAATTTGTTTAAAAAGATATGCCATATATAATAAATTTTAAGAGTTTCTAATACAAATATCATTTTTTTCTTTTCTAAAAAGGTATTTCTAATCTATGTATCCAATTAATTATATATACATTCATTTTATTTCAATTAAAATGTATAAATATTTGAAATATACAAATCATAAAAATTTTAAAATAATTTATACTGCTTTTATAATTTATACTGTATATTCGTTCCATATAAATAAATTTTAAATTTGTATTCATAATTTTATATTCAAAAATCTTATAATTATAATTATGATTACTCTATTGCTTGTTTATAATTTAGATATACTTAATAATTTGTTAATATATATTTTGAACTACCGATTTCTGTTTACCTCTTAATATTACAATAAAAGTATTTAGTATTTTTTAACTAGAAAACAAAGAAATAGTATTAAAATTTTATATGCTTAAGATCAAAAAAGAGATTTTCATTTAAAAATATTAAAGATATTTAAAAAATGGGTGAAACTGATTGGGATTCTGTTACAAAAATTGGGAGGGGTGTTCGTTCAAAAGTCACTACAATAAGAACTATAAATGAAATAAATGAGGCACGACGGTTAGGTATTTTAGTAAATATTGAGAAAAAATTTTCTGCTGGATCTAATAAGGTTTTTTTTTTAAAAAAACATATATAAATTTACAAAAAAACCAGGCGCATAAAACAACGGAATCACAAAAAATAACGAAAATAGATAGAGAAAATGATATTGTTCCTATAAAAACTTCTGGACGTGAAGTTGGATTAGCTATTTCAAAAGCTCGCCAAGAAAAAAATATCAAACAATCTGAGCTTGCACAAAAAATTAACGAAAAAGTGAGTGTAATAAATGATTATGAAAATGGGAAAGCAATCCCAAATCAACAGATTTTGGCTAAAATGGAAAAAGTAATACTTATATATATATATTATATTGATATTTATTTAATAAAGGTTTTGGGCGTTAAACTACGTGGATCTGGTATCGGTCAAGTCTTAGCAGGCTCTAAAAAGTAATTAGGTTTTATTCTATAACTTAGGTATCATATAAATTACTTAATATCATTGAAAGAATTATTATTAATAATGTTAAATTTATAAAAGATTCAAATTAAACATAGATAATTTTTATTATCTTGATATATTTTTAGAATTAACACAATTTAATGATGATTTTGTATATCCCCTCCCGTAAAATTTAATTTATAAACACTACCACATTCTGGACATCGTGAATTTTCTTTATTAACTGATAATTCAAACCAAAGTACGTCATGAGAATCTACAGGAAATCCTGTACATCCTATTAAACGTGTTTTATCAAGACTTTCAACAACAATAGGATCCTTAAGAGTTCCTAAACGACTCGCATCAAGAGGTTTAAGGTCAAAAGCATCTTTTCCCGACAACTTCTGCAAAAGTTCATATTTCTCAATTCCCGTTGCTTGTTCTAAAGAACTAGGGACTTTTCCTTCGACCGGTTTCGGATTTTTATCATTCTTTATATAACTTTTTGTTATAAAATTCCGTTCTATTATCTTAAATTAATATCAAATAACCAAAAAAAATTTATAAAAAAAATAAATCTTATTTTCTGTTTATTTTATAATTACCTATTTTATAAATAACTTTATTAATTCTTAAAACTTGTATTAATCTTTTCTTAAAAAAAAAAGAACTTAAATAACATTCTCTGGTCTTGTTTAGAATGTTCATTTATTTTTCTTAAGTTTTATCTTATTTTTAAGTTTTCTCAAAAAAATATATGGTTAATCGATTTATATTTTTTATAGAATTCTAAACTTTATTTTATCAATAAATTAATAAAATATTTTAAATATTAATAAATAATTGTACTTTTCATTATGTTTTTGTTTTTCCCCATTTTCTAAATATATATCTAATAATGTTTCACGTGATTTAAAAATACACGTTTTTACTTAAAAAAAATTTCAAACTTTTTGTGATCAAAAATTCTATTTATAATATCCAATATTTTTCGTCAAAATACACTGTCCCACAGGATATTTAAATCAACTTTTACTGGTTTATTTTTCCAAAAAAATAGACAAATAACTATGACAATTAACAACATTAAGAATGAAATTGCAAAAAAGATTAATGGTACAGCTATTGCTAAGTAAGTTTTTCTTAATATTCTTCCTAAGAATGTTTTTAATTATTAAAGGTCATTTTATGAAAAAATTAAAACAGAAATTATTGAAAAACAATCTAAATATCCAGAATTTCGTCCTACACTAGCAATTATTCAGGTGGGATCAATAGAAGAATCTAACACATATATTCGTATGAAACGTAAAGCATCGGAAGAAGTATTATAATTGGTATATGTATATTTATGTATGAATGAATGTTTAGGCAAATATTCAATTTCAGCATATAACATTTCCTGAATCAATTCAACAAAGTGAACTTTTGAATGAGATTTTTCGTCTAAATAAGGATTTTTGTGTCCATGGGATTATTGTTCAATTTCCCATTCCCTCTCATTTATCAGAATCAGCTATTACTTCTGCTATATCACCTTTAAAAGATGTGGATGGACTTAATGTTTTAAATATCGGAGAGCTTTCTAAACGGAATGGAAAACCTTTCTTTATTCCTTGTACTCCTAAAGCTGTTATGAGTATATTTGATTCAATTGGTATTGAACTTGAGGGTAGAAATGCAGTTGTTATTGGACGCAGTAATATTGTTGGAAATCCTATGAGTTGTCTTCTTCGCAATGCCAATGCTACTGTCACTGTCTGTCATTCAAAAACTAGAAATATTAAGGAAGTTTGTAGACAGGCAGACATTTTGGTAGTTGCTATCGGACAGCCTGAATATATTAATGCTGATTGGGTCAAACCAGGAGCCGTGGTAATTGATGTTGGCATTAATTATAAAGAGGATCCTTCAAGGAAAAGCGGAAAACGTCTTATCGGAGATCTGCATTATGAATCGGTTTCAAAGGTTGCATCTTATATAACTCCTGTTCCAGGAGGTGTTGGTCCTATAACTGTTAGTATGCTTCTTCAAAATGTTTTAGAATCAGCTAAGCGCTTTCAATCTCTTTCCCATTCCAAGATTATTTCTCCTCTTCCTCTTAAGCCTCTTAATCCTGTTCCTAATGATTTTATTATTTCTAAAAGTCAAACACCTAAAAATATCCAAACATTGGCCAAAGAAATCGGTATTTTTGATAACGAACTTGAAATTTACGGGAATTATAAAGCTAAAGTAAGTTTGGATATCTTAGATCGATTAAAATATCGAAAAGATGGATATTATGTTTGTGTAACTGGAATTACTCCTACAGCTTTCGGTAAATTTTTTATTTTATTTGAGATTATTAACTTCTTTAAGGTGAAGGGAAAACTACAGTATCTGTAGGACTTGCTCAAGCTTTAGGAGCTCATTGTAAAAAATTAACTTTTGTTTGTATTCGTCAACCTTCTCAGGGACCTACTTTTGGTAATTAATAATTTAAAATGTAAACTAGATTTAATATATTTAAGGCATCAAAGGCGGCGCAGCAGGAGGCGGCTATTCTCAAGTTATTCCAATGGATGAACTTAATCTTCACTTAACTGGAGATATTCACGCTGTTACTGCTGCTAATAATCTTTTAGGTATTTTATTTGTATTTGAATATTTTACTAATATCTTTTATAGCTGCCGCTATTGATACTCGTTTTTTTCATGAAGAAACTCAAAGTATTAAGGCTCTTTATTCTAGACTTGTTTCTAAAAAAGATGGAAAATGTAATTTTTCGCCTATAATGAAAAAGCGATTACAAAAATTGGGAATAGACAAAACAGATCCCAATGATTTAACTAACGAAGAAATTGAGAAATTTGCTAGATTAAACATTGATCCAAAAACTATTACATGGCAGCGCGTACTTGATGTAAATGACAGGTTTTTACGCAAAATTACAATTGGAAAAAATCCTACAGAAAAAGGATTAGAAAGAACTTCTGGATTTGATATTTCTGTCGCTAGCGAATGCATGGCAGTATTAGCTCTTGCAAATGACATTAAAGACTTGAGAAAAAGGTATGTTTTATAGTTTTCAAAAATTTAGGCTAGATTTTTAAAAAGACTCGGCGATATGATTGTGGCTACAAGTCAATCTGGAGACTTTATTACTGCCGATGATATTGGAGTTGGCGGCGCTATGGCCGTTCTTATGAAAGATGCTATAAAACCTAACTTAATGCAAACTATTGAAGGAACTCCAGTATTTGTTCATGCAGGCCCTTTTGCAAATATTGCCCATGTAATTATTTATTTAATATGTTCAATTATGTTTATGGTTTTAGGGGAATTCATCTATTCTTGCAGACAGAATTGCCTTGAAACTTACTGGTATCGAAAATGATGAAACACGAGAAAAAGATGCAGGATATGTAATAACTGAGGCGGGTTTTGGTGCAGATGCGGGATTAGAAAAATTTTTTGATATTAAAACTAGAACGTCTGGTTTACAACCAGATGCAGTTGTTTTAGTAACTACTGTTAGAGCGTTAAAACTTCATGGAGGCGGTCCAGAAGTATGAACCTAAATCAAGTGTTTTATTTAACATTATTTATTAGATTGTTTCCGGAAAACCATTAGATAATGTTTACTTCACTGAAAACCTTGAATTAGTTAGAAAAGGATGTTGTAACATGATAAGACATATTCGAAATATTGAAAAATATGGTGTACCAATTATAGTTGCTATAAATAAATTTCAGTAAGTCTATATTTTAAATTATAATAAATAACAAAACAGTATGGATACTCAATCAGAAATCACTATTATCCAAGAAGAAGCCTTAAAAGCAGGTGCAGTAGATGCTGTAGTTAGTAATCAATGGGCATTGGGTGGAGCCGGTTCAATTGAACTAGCAAATGCTGTTCAATATGCTTGCCAAAAAGTTCCTAAGAATTTCAAATTTTTATATGATTTAAATACCTCTATTATAGAAAAAATTGAAATAGTTGCTAAAGAGATATATGGCGCAGATGGTATTGAACTAAGCGAACTTTCAAAGGAAAAAATAAAACAGTATACTGAAAAAGTATCTTCTTTTTATATTCAATTTTTTATTAAAATCTTTAGGGATTTGGAAATCTTCCTGTTTGCATTGCTAAAACTCAATATTCATTTTCGCATGATCCAAAACTAAAAGGTGCACCTACAGGTTTTATAATTCCTATAAGAGACATTCGTTTGAATGCAGGTGCTGGTTTTATAGTACCATTACTTGCTGAAATTACAACAATTCCTGGACTTCCAACTCGACCGGCATATTATGATGTCGATATTAATACGGAAACTCATCAGGTCGAAGGGTTATTTTAAATATATATTTTAACATTTAATATTTGTAAATATTACGAAAACTATTTTACATAAAAAATTAAAGATTTTTCCAATCAATGAGTAATTATTCTAATAAAATAAATATACTTTTTGTATGTCTTGGGAATATTTGTCGCAGTCCAATGGCTCAAGGTTAATTTTTATCATTATTTCTGCCTTAATTCACCTTTATAAGGTGTTTTTGCAAATTATGTTGCAAAACATAATCTTCAAGATAAATTTGGTTTAATTGATAGCTGTGGAACCTCTGGTTTTATATTTATATATTTTATTTATGTTATTTGACATTTTTCTTGTATAGCATATCATATTGGTTCAAGACCTGATTCTAGAACTCTTTCAGTATTAAAGAAACATGAAATAATCCTTGATCACCAAGCTAGACAATTATGCAAGGATGATTTCCAGAAATTTGATTATATTCTTGTGATGGATATTTCAAACTTAGAAGATGTTAATTATAAACGTCCTAAAAATTGCCATGCAAAAAGTATATACTATATTTTTTATTTTTTTACATTTAATATATATTAGTAAAACTATTTGGAGACTATGGAATGAAGAATGAGGAAAGGATTGTATATGATCCTTATTATGTAGAAGAATAATTTTTATATATATTTTAATTAAATTTAATCTAGGGAGGAATAGAAGATTTTGAAAAAATTTTTACACAACTGAGTTCATTTAGTGAAGGATTTTGTCACGATGTTTTAGGAAAATAATATCACATAACAACTTAAATATATTGTATTAACATGTAAATCCAATAGCTTTATTATAGATTTGCTTGTTCGGAAGAGGTACCCATACAGGTTTACATTCTTTCCTTTTTTTTTCTTTTATTTCTCGTTGTTTTAATGTAGCAATGTCTTTTACAATTATTTTTATGTGTGTTCGTGGCCTTCTTCGTATTGACATTCTTCCTCTTCCTCTAAACCATAATTGCTTAATATAAACACCTTTTCCAACCCATGATTGATCAATAAATAATGTGTTTTCATCTAACTTGCTATTTATAGCCCTTGTACGCGCATTTTTTAATGTTTTAGCAACCTCTCTTGCTGCTTTTTTTTTACTGAAATCCATTTGTAAAATGGCATCTTCTAGTTTTTTTCCTGCAATTTGTCTAGATATCTTTGTAAGTTTTTTTAATGATGTCTTGATACATGGCGATTTATAAATTATCTATGATATATTTTTTAGACACTTCAGTCTTATATCATTTATTATTAAACAAACCATATTTTTCTTAGCTTTTGGTACTTTATCAAGTGTTTGATCAAAGATATCTGAAACAGTAGATAGATAGCAACACTTGTTTTTATATAAAACATGTCTATTAACATTATTCATATGTCTATTATTTCTTACTTTATTTCTTGAATTTTTTTTTAAATATACCTTGGAAAAAATCCAGATAAAATCAATGATTGATGAACTAATAATGATCTTAATGGACTAAGGGCTATATTCATATAATTTCTTAAGAATTACAGGTAAATTAGCCTATATATTTGGAGATTTCTAATTTTTTTGAGGGTACAGACCGATTCTAAAAATCAAGTTTTTATAGCAATATTGAAAATATTTTAATAATAATAAGATATAGTTTCATTTAAAATCTTTACAATTAAGAATTATTAAAGAAATCTTTTTTTTAATTATTTTATAAAAAATTTTCAAGGTTAGATCTATTTTTTAATAAGAAGATTTTATCAAAACCTTATTTTATATATGTTTAAATATATTTTATTTGAACATATTGATTATTTTATAAAATAATTAGTTATTTCATAATTTTTCTAATATAATAATCTATAAATTATGTTTTATATTTTTATAAGCTATTTTGAAAAATATATAAGATTATATGTTTATAAAAGAATTAAGACAATATATATAAATAACAAACAATATAAAATGTATTTTTTTACATATTAACTATATTAAATTGAATTTTTTCTTTAATTAACCTATGAATATATTTATTTTAATTAAAAAAGTAAATTTTAAAATTTCTTCAAAAAATGAATTCAAATTTAACTATAAATGACTTAAATCAAGGAGCTTTAGAAAAAAGAAAGCAATTAAATACAATTGTTTCATTGTAGGTTCTTATCTTTTAATATTTCATATTTATTTTATAAGACACCCTTTAGTACTTTTTATTATTTCAGATTATTATATGAGACATAAATCTCAAACAAATAAATCATTATTAATTCCAAGTAATAGAATTATATATATATTTTAAATATTTTTGGTTATATAGTTGCTGGTGCTCTATTTGGTAATGAAGATAATAATAAAATTATAATTGAAAATGCCATGGAAATTAAACTTATTAAAAATGCAGATATGTTTAAAGTGGATGAAACATATTTTGAGTTACGTTTAGAACAATGTATATAATTGGGTTTTATTTGATATATTAATATTATCAGTAAAGGCAGTTTTTTCAAATTATAGTTTTCTAGGTTGGTTTTTTTTTGGGAGTTTTCCAGGAAAAATAGAAGTGAAAATACACGAACAGGTTTATTTGAATTTTTTATCTTTTTTTTAACTTCTTTAAAAGTTGCTAAAATATAATCAAAATGCTCTTCTTTTACTTGTGGATATTATTTTACTAACATCTTCAAAAATAAATGCAAAATTGCCAATTAAAATATATAAATTTTGTCCTGAGGAATCTTCATTATCTTCTGAAAACTATACAGATAAAAATATGTTTATTGAAGAAGACTATCAACTAAACATTGGAGAACCAGAAACTGTTATTATAGATTATATGTCTAAAGTTGCAGAAAATAGTGAAAATAAAATCGATGATAAGAAATCAGAGAGTATACACATTATTTTTAATTAATTCTATTTTAATTATATATAGTAATTGCAGATTTATTAATACAAATAAATGTAATTAACGTTTTGCAACAACGTATTGAAATTCTAAAAAAATATCTAATAGATGTCAAAACAGGTATGTTTTCTTTATATTATTAAGACCAAATACTTAATTTTTTGAAGGAATTGTTTCTGGTGATCCAAATCTTTTACGTCAAATAGCATCTTTATGCAGTCATTTTCCAATTACTCAAAATGGCGATTTTCAAGAGCTTCAAACAGAATATAATTCTGCTCTTCTTATAAATCATCTCTCATTAATAACAAAATCTTTTAGTATTATGAAGGATGTTTGTATTATATTATAAACTTGAATAAAACTGATTTAAAATTAGTTATTCTATAAACATAAAATTATACGAAATAATACTAATAAATTTAAAGAATAAACTTCATTATTAAAACAAAAAACCATTTATATAATACATAAAATCCTTTAAAAAATACCAAAAATATATAAAACATTTTTTCATATATAAATGCTTTTTCATACATAAAAATATACATTTATTATTTTTCACTCAAATATTTTTCCAATTCTTCTAAATCTATTGGTGTTAAATTACCTTCTCTTTCCCTCCTTTTCCGTTCTTCTTCCTCTATATAAAACGATTTTATACTTGCTGCTATATATTTCACATCTTCTAAAAATACATCAAAAATTTCCCACCATGCATATGGAAGTTTAATCTTCTCTTCTCTAGTAGCAATAAAAATACATCCTATAGCAATAGATGGTGCACTTTGTATACATGAAACCCTTGTACATAAAGCATCATTAATACATGACCATACCTTCTGTAAAATTATTTCATGATTTATTAAGTCCAATATTTGTAAATAATGAATAGCTAATCTATAAGGAAGTTCGACAAATGTATCAAAACCCAAAGATGATAATATCGTAATTTCTGCTATTAAAATTTGATCCCTAGTCCTATAAAAAAACTATCAAATTATAAAATTATATAATTATTTTTTAGTTATTACTTCTTCAAAATATTCAAGAACTTTCATAGGTTTTCCCTCCCTACAATCAAATAATCTTGAAAATATTCTTATAATATCCTTTATTTTTATTGGATATTCTGTAATTTTAGATGCTGTAAAAATGGCACCCATAGCTATTTCTTTAATTGAAAATTTTCTAAGAGATTCACTATAATAGAACCGTTGAAATAATACTTCTGCTGTACCAAAACATGTTATATGTCTATAATATTATTATTTTAATTGTTTGTTTTTATATATTTTTTCTAATTACAATTCAAGAAGAATTGATGCTTGTCTAATTAACTCTGCTCCAGCATTTCGCATTTCTCCTTCTAAATCTTTAGAAATTCCTGAACGCCTTGATGGCGTCTCCTTTGCCTGATTTACATCTATTTGTGCATTATTTCTTCTCATTCAGCTCAATTCTTTTATTAGTTATAAAATATTGATATTCAATTTATATTTTTTTTCTATAAATAATAAGGAAATGCCCTTATAGTTTAGTGGCTATAACATCTCACTCGTAGATCCCTTGGGAGATGAGAAGGTCCTGTGTTCGACTCGCAGTGGGGGCAGTAATTTTTGTAAAATATTGATAGAAGTACTTTAAATGAAAATCAAACGACATCTGTGGGTTATTTTTGGGAGTCAAACAGGATCAGCACAGGATGTTGCAGAATATCTTGAAAGAGGGGCAAGAAGACGTTTGTTTGATACATATATATGTCCAGGAGAAGATATTTTGATTGAAGGTGGTCAAAGAACTAAGTGGAAAAAGAAAGATTTATATTTTGTAGATTTTATTGAAGCAAGATTAGTTATTTTTGTATGTTCAACAACAGGACAAGGTGAAATGCCGGATAATATAAAACCCTTATGGAGATTTTTGCTTAGAAAAGATTTACCAGAAAATTTTCTTGAAAATATGGAGTTTGCAGTATTTGGTATTGGTAGTACACTTTATCCTAAGTAATTTAAACAATTTTATTATTATAATATTTATTTTTTTAAAAGATATAACTGGTCATCTAAAAAACTATATAGACGTTTACTTCAACTTGGTGCACAATCAATTTATAAACGTGGAGAAGCAGATGAACAACATGAACAGGGGTATGAATTTTGTATCTAATTAAAATAATTAATTAATAATAAGAATTGATGGAGCTTTAATTCCATGGTCAGAAGAACTTTGGAGGATTTTATTAGAAAAATATCCAATTCCAAAAGGATATGATATATACCCAGAAACCTTACTTTTATCATCATCATTTTTTGTGAACTTAAATAAAGCAAAAGTGTCATCCACTACTTATTCAATTCATAGAGCAAATGTTATTAAAGTAACTGTTTCTCAAAATCTACGTATAACATCGCAAGATCATTGGCAAGATGTGAGACATGTGATATTGGATATTCATGATAACTCAATAACTTATTATCCTGGTGATAATATTATTTTATATCCATCTAATCCTTCTAAAGAGGTAGAAAGTTTTCTTGAATGTATGAATTGGTTGGAAATTGCAGATATTCCTTTGCATATATCTTCAAAAAGGATTTATAAAAATTCATTAATTCCATCAGAAGCTACATTACGATTTCTTTTTACAAACATATTAGATTTTTTATCAGTTCCTCGGCGGTCATTTTTTGAATTTTTGCTACATTTTACAGATAATAAAGATTTTATTGATAAATTTCATCATTTTCGTAGCATTGAGGGCCAAGAAGATTTATATGATTATGTTAATCGTCCAAGAAGAACTATTTTAGAGGTTATTCAAGATTTTTCCCCTTTAAACATTCCATTAGATTATATATTTGATGTTTTTCCTATTATATCTGGTCGAAAATTTTCTATTGCTAGTAGTTTAAAGGTACATTAAATAATTATATTATAATTATGTCATATTTTTTAGACTAATCCAGGACAAATTCATTTATGTGTAGCAATCGTTAAATATAAGACAATTTTGAGAAATTTCAGATACGGTCTCTGCACAAGGTGGATTTCTTTCCTTTCAGAAGGTATGGTATGACTCATAAATGAATTATATTAAAGTTTAGGCATTGAAATAGAGATCGGTTTTTCTTCAGGAACTTTAAAAAAACCTAAATTGCCTTCAATTCCTATTGTTATGATAGGGCCAGGAACAGGTGTTTCACCATTGCGTTCATTGATTCAAGAACGTATTTTTGATGGATGCAAAAGTTAAAAATTTTATTATTATTATTATTATTAATTTCATAAAGATAATATATTATTTTTTGGATGTCGTTCACAATATAAAGATTTTTTATTTAAAGACGAATGGATGAAATATTGTAGCAACAATGATTTAATCTTATTTACAGCATTTTCAAGAGATCAGGTATTTTTTTTTAAATTATATTGGAGCCTAATAAAAATAGAGCGAAAAAAGATATGTTCAGCATGTTATGGAAGAACATTCAGAGATTTTATATGATTATTTATATAATAAATTAGGGATTTTGTATCTATCAGGGTATTTTTTTTTAAAGAAAAAATCCAAATTAAATATATATTTAGAAACTCTCGTTTTATGCCAGAAGCAGTTAAACAGTCTTTTCTTAATGTTTTAATGAAAGAAGGAAACCTTTCTGATGAACAATCTAAGACTTGGCTCTTAAAAATGGAAAAAGAAGGTCGATATTTACAAGAAACATGGTCATAAAACTATATATTATAATATTGTATTAAGAATCGACGGGTTATATATAAATAAAAATTGTTAATATTTTAAAAAAATTTATAAGGGATTTTTGTTTAGCTACAAATTATTCATAATGTTAATTTTTAATTAAATGAGTTAAAATTTTTCTATATTATTACAACAAATAATATTCAACCTTGCTATATATAATAATTTTCCATATTAGTATTATAATTATAGCAATACATATAAAATTGTAAAATTAACTTTCACTTTTTAAAATCTATACTATACTAATTCATACTTAGAATTTTTATCTAGACACTTTATATGATTTTTGAAAACTCATATAAAAAATATTAAAAATTATTTATACTTAACATTTTCAATTCTTATTAGAACATATTTCTTTATATAAATTAAAAATTTAGAAATAAATAAATTAAAAGTATAATGCATAAAATACTATAAACAATGATATTTTTCCTAAATATTGTTTAATATCTTCAATATGGTTATAAATGTAATTTATTAAAAAAAACAAATCTAATTAACTTTTGTTCCAAGAGTTTCAAAAGCACTACGTGCATCTAAGACATCGTCTATTCTCTTCAAAAATTTTGAGTCATATTCTTTTTTTATATGATTTTTCTGTCTTTGGATACCAGACCATGCATCTCCTTGAGCTGTCTGACTTGAATTAATATCATTTCTATTTTTCAATCGTGAAAATTCCCTTCCCAATCTTGAAAGACCACCGGTATGATCTATATTTCTAATATCAGGCCTTGATGATTCTAAAATGGCTAACAGGCGTCTTTCATATTCTATTTGACGTTTTGTATACTCTTTCAAAGATGATTTAATATCACTTGATGTTCTCTTTATCCATTTACGTCCTTCTTGAAGAAGGTTTGTAGTGATTCTCGTGAGTTTTATGTTCAAATTTTGTTCATGTGAACGAGTTTCTTCAAGAGAGGCCAAAACTTCGTCAACTTTTTCAGGTTTTATTGAGCTTGACGATTTTAAACGTGTAATAGTAGATACTTTAGAACGAGAAGATGTTTGTGCAGATAATAGTTCTTTAATAAGGATCTGACGATTCATTAAAGCTTCCTGAAATGATTAAAACTATATAAATATTAACAAGAACTATACTTCTACTACAAATGCATCCGAGGATATATATGACAGAGTATCAATAAAAATAACAGCTTTTATGTTTGCTTGAGTCAAACGTGAATGACTGATGCTTTGAATAATTTTTCCAAGTTTTCGAAAAGCATTAGACATCCCAGAATGTTGCTCCATATCTGCTATTGTAATAAATTTAAGCCCTAATTCATCCTCTGAAGCACTAAGAACTAATAAAATATTATTATTTAGATAAATTTATAACATAAAAAACAACCTCGAAGAGTCTTAATAACTTTTTCAAGTTTTGTAGAAGATTCAGATGTTTGTCGGTAAAATTGTTTGATGATTGGTCTTAAATTACAAAGTTCAGGAGTATCATCCGGAGGAGCTGCCTGTATCTTAATTGCTTTCCTTTTCAGCACAGATCCATGTTTATTCTTCCGTATAACAGGTGAATACTATATATTAAAAAATATAAATTTATTATAAATAATGTAACCAAACCCCAAAATGCCCTTCAATAAAATAAACGAGTTCTTTATCTTGCATAAGAATAGGACTCTCACTAATTAAATCAAACCATTTTTGCATACGAATATGGAGATATTTCGTTTCTTCTTCTAATCCTAATCCTGCCGATGTAATACTCGGAGGCAATGGAGGAACAAGACACTCTGGATTAGAAATAGTAAGGTGTTTTCCTAGCTTAATAAACTCCTCATACGTTCGTCGTACATCCGTAAACTGCGAAGAACGAAAGTGTTCAATATTTGTCTATATAATGTCACAAATCTCTTCATTTACTTATTGATCTCCATACATCGACATTAAACCTAATCACTGGAACTTTACCAGACCGTTCTACTTCTCTTATAATCACATAAAAATAGCGACTCTCCGGCTCGGTAGTTATCTCCGAGCCGTTCTGTTCTATATCCTCTTTATTATCCGTTATTGCGTCAAAAAAAGTCCTTCAAAAACAACGTTTTCAATTTCTTATAAAAAATACTAAGTTCTTTTCTGGATATTGCGAAAAAATCAATAAAAATATTCAACTTTTATCAATTTTTAGACCGCCAGCTTTTTTTTGAAGTTGATCCTCGAGATCTTAACATCCAAGGAAATGTTAAAATCTCCAAACTATTTTATACCTTATTTAAAGGCCAATTATTATATTTAAGAAAAAATTCTATATTTTTTTAATATATTTAAGGTTATTATTGAAGTTTGGTGCTTTTTTTTAAAAAAAAATTTGAAGAATTTTGAATAAATCAGTCTGGATGATTAATATTTCATCATTAGTTAAATTTCATATCTATAAGGATTCATGGAAGTCATTTTTAAGGATTCATCTTCAGAAAAACTATTGTAAATATTCTACTATGTCTAAAATCCGTAATATTGGTATTTTAGCACATGTGGATGCGGTATGTTCTTGATTAGATTCATGACGGAATTGAAAAGATACAGGGAAAGACAACAACAATAGAAAGAATGCTTTTTTACAGTGGATATACAGATCGTTTGGGTGGTAGATAAATCTTTGTTAATAATCGTAATTTATAATAAGATAGAGGTTGATAAGGGTTCAACAGTTATGGATTATCTTCCAATGGAGAGGGAAAGAGGAATTACAATTAAATCAGCGGCAATATGGTTTATGTGGAATGGGTATAGAATTAATTTTATTGATACACCAGGCCATGCGGATTTTGTGTTTGAAGTGGAACGAGCTCTTTCAGTCATGAATGGAGCAGTTGTTTTACTGGATGCAATTTCTGGTATAGAAGCTCAAACGATTCATGTTTGGAGACGAGCAACTCGATGGAAGCTTCCTAGACTTATTTTTATTAATAAAATGGATCGACCGGATGTTGATCCAACTAAAATCTTTACACAATTTCAACATCAATTCGGTGTTCGTCTAGTTGCAATGCAAGTTCCGATTTTTAATAACGATTCTGGAGTAGATAGTAGGTTTTGTGGACTTATTGATATTATAAGTATGGAAGCGTTTTTATGGCATCCAAATAGCGATGGTACTGTATTTACACGACAGCCACTAGATGCTGTTACTAATAAAAAGCAATTAAAACAAGCAACTGATGCACGGATTCATCTAGTAGAAACATTAACAGAGGTTGATGAAATTTTAATTGATGCATTTCTTAATTCTGGTTCCAATTTATTACATATTGATTCAAATGTTTTAAGCCAAGCTGTTCGTAGGGCAACATTATCGAACTTTCTGATTCCTGTTTTTTACGGTTCTTCACTTAAAAATATTGGTATTCAATTACTCCTTGATGCAATGGTAACTTATTTACCCTCATCTGAAGAGCGTTCAGATGGTAAAAGTCAAAATTTCTTATCAATAAATTACTTAGCATTGTTAGAGACTCTATCCTTTATTAAAGACATCTCTAAAAACCTTCACCAAACAGAAGGTCAATCAGAGAATACGCCTATAGAATACAAGAATATTTCATTGATGTCAAATCCTTTAGTTAATTCTCTGAAAAGAGAGGATATTTCTGTATTTGCTATTGTTTTTAAGGTGGTAGTTAACCGAGGTATTAGATATGTTTATATCGCAATGCATAAAGGTAAGAAATATTAATTAACCAAATGTATTGGGACCTTTAATAATATTTTTTTACGGAAACTTATTTTATATTCTTCTTAGAATTGAATGATGTTTTTTTTTTGAATAATATGAATTAATAAGCTTTTAGGATGTCTTCAGAAAGGACAATGGTTACGACTTGTACGAGGAGGTCGTATACGAGTTGAAGAATTACGGGAGTGTATTGGTGGAACAACTATTTTGGGTTCAGATCCTACTCTTCCTCGTCCGTTTTCTGGAGTCAAAGCAAATAATACAGGCTCTCCAATTAATCGAATTGATCAAGGAAATTGGGGCATAATGATTAGTAACGATAGAATTCGTACTGGCGATATATTTGTGGACAGTGCCGATATTGATATGCGAATAGATCATATAACAGATATGAAGATTCAAGCTATATTTGATGGTTTAATTGATAGCGAAACTAATAGCAGTGCTTATTTATCTCTAGAATTACCTACTCCAGTAGTTTCTGTAGCTCTTGAACCAATAGGTGCAGAGACAATTCGATCTTTACCCCAGGTACTTTCATGGCTTTTGGATGAAGATCCAAGTTTGCGAGTTGATGATAAGGAAGGACAAATTTTATTAACTGGAATCGGTGAACTTCATATTGCAGCTGCATGTGATCGCTTGATTAACCATTTTCGTCTTAATATTCGTATAGGCAATGTTCAGCTTCAACGTCGGGAAAAGATTTTAAATGAAGTAGTGACACAACAAACATATCATGCTACTATGCATAAACAAATTCCTATAGATGTTGTGGTTCGTCTAAAACCTATAGATAATCCCGAAAAACTCAATGGTCTTGACAATGAAATTATCATTAATGAATCTGTTACGAACGAATGTAAATACTTAGGCATTCAGAAGGTTCAACACGCATGTACTGCCGGTGTTTTAGCAGGTCTACAATCTGGTCCCATTAAACAACTTCCTATAAGTGGTGCTAAAGTAATCGTGGAATCGGTTAATACCTATGGAATCACTATTACTCCTTCAATTTTGGGCGCAGCTGTTCGTTTTGCTATCCTCCATCTAATTTCTAATCTTCCTAACCATTTCGTTTCTATCGTCGAACCAATTATGTATGTAATCATCACTTTATCCCACGATAAGGATCTAGGAAACGTAATAAAAGATCTTACAGGTTTACGTCAAGGAAAGTTAATTTCTATAAACAACTGCTCTACAGGTCACCATATTCTTATTGCTCATATTCCTCTTAAATATATGTTGCAATATACATCGTAAATATTTCAAAACTATATTCTATAATTCTAACCAATCTAGTGTCCTTAGAGAACTAACAAGTGGCACTGGTTCTTTTATAATGGTAAAAAAAATACATCTTTTATCATATATCTAATAAAATAGTCATTCAATCATTTTGGGACACCTTATTAATATTTTCTCAAACATAAATACATTCTATCTATCTAATTCATTTTAAAACAATCGTTTATCGTACAAACCTATAAGAACAATTTTTTAATTTTTTTTCAATATTAATACCAAAATATTACTTCAATTAAAATTATAAATCAACTTTATTTCATACAAATCTTTTTTAACTTTCTTTAGTATTTTCTAATATTTCATACACATTTTTTATTTACAGCTCTTATTACAGCTTCTATTATAATTCCTATTGCAACCCTCATTTCAACTCTCACTGCTCTCTCTTTTCTATTCTAAAATTCTAGCTTTTATCCTAACTTTTTCTTAAAATATTTTTATATTTAACTTTTCGTATTATATTTTTTCGTTTTTTTTATTACACTCTAAATTTTTTAAAAATTAAAAAAATATTTTAAAAAAATAAAAAAAATATCTATTTCTTTTTATTCTTTTAAAAACTATATCTTTTATATTTTGTTTATAAATATTTTGTTTTTATTTTAAATAAAAAGCATTTTTTTCAATTTTTATAAATTACGATTCAATTTTCTCCTTAAACCCTGTTTTATTAACAAAAAAAAGGGAAAAGAATTTATAAACAGGGTTGAGCTCCCGGAACACTTTTTGAGTATTAATAACTATAACAAGGCCGTTAATATTAGGTAAATAATTTAATGTAATTGTTTTTTTTTTAACAAATATAAGATAAAATGTCCGCACAAGATATTAAAGATATTGTTTCTCAAACATGTGATCTTGTGATTGAAGAATCATCTCAAAAGAATCAGGAATTTCCAGTTTCTACAGCAAAGGAGGCGGGAAATAAAATTTTTATTGGGAATCTTAGTTATAAGACAACAGAAAATGATCTTCGAACGTTGCTGGGAAGTATTGGTAACATGTGAGTTTTTAGATAAAATAATCAAGAATACTGTCTTATGGTGGGTTTTAGTACTGCAATAAGTATGCCAGTACGCCGTTCATATAAGACGGGTATTTCGCGTTTTCAGGGAATTGCTTTTGTGAGTTTTTCATCAGGACAAGATGCTCAAAATGCTATTGAGCAATGTAATCAAAAAGAGCTTTTAAATCGGAAGATTACAGTTACCTATGCAAATCCCTATCAAACGAAGCCATCTAATCGACGACAAAGGCCATCCAAGATTAAAACGAAAGTAAATATATAAGTTTTTTAGAATTTTGAAAAGTAATATTATTTTAAGAAAATGTCTAAAAAGAATAGTGATGGACAAGATTTCAAGGAGCCTTCTAAGTCTAAAAAGAATGTATCTGGTATGATTTTTTTTATAAAAAAAAAAGCTTAAATTATTATTATTATAGGTATTAGTGCTAATGGCACTACATCAGGTACTCAGAAACAAATGGATCGTAGTGTTTCTGAAGGAGATGCTAAACATAACCAAACTCGATCATCTAATCGTTCAGGAATTAGACGTGCACCAAAAGGTCCTCCTGCTGATGGTATTAATAGTAAAACAACGGTTTTTGTAGCAGGACTTTCCTATGATACGGATGATGTGGAGGTTCGCGTTTTTCTCCTTTTTTTTAGCATTTATATTAATTTTCTTAGCTTATAGAATGGTTTTCAGCATATAATCCTCAAAGTGCATATGTTGCTCTTCGCCCATTACCTCGTTATTTGGTTGAAAGATTAGCAGCAAGAGGAGAGCGACGAAAAGGACGTGGTTTTGGCTTTGTTACGTTTGAAAATGAGGATATGCAAAATAAGGCAGTAGAAGAAATGAACGATAAAGAAATCTGTGGCAGAAAGTTAACTGTAAAAATTGCTGTCGATAAACCTCAACAAGTTCAAGCACTATCCAATGATTTTCATGAATCCTGTACTGGTAATACTGTTACAGATTAGCAATAATGAAAATAGATTATATATGTAGTATAGGAGGACTTTAAATGCTATAAATGTTATTAATACTGAAAATTTTCAATTTTTGTAAATTATTCATAATATGTTTTTTATAGAGTTTCATTTATTTTTATATGTTTTTGATCTCGTTTTATTAAATTTTTTACTTTTAAACTCTAAACTAAATACAATTTTGTTTTAAAACTAGACTTTTTTAAGAATATTATACAAATAAAAGAATATTTTTAAAGATTCTAATAAGAAATTATGGTTATCGAACACTCTGAAATAAACAAGATTAATAAATCATTAAAAAATGATATTTCATCTGCTAAAAAACAAGTTTCATTAACATTGGATAATGAAAACTATTATTCAGATGAAGATGTGGATTCTAGATTGGCTTTGCGTCAAGAATACAGAAAATTAATCAAGATAACAGATGGTATATTAATATATATATATTATTTTATTTTAATTCTTAAATAAATCTAGAAAAGAAGCAAGATTATATTAAAACAGGTGGTAATGGGTTAATAAATACAATTAAAATGGCAGATAAACTTTTTGAAAAAGGTTTTTATTTATTTTGATATTATTAATTAATTATTTTATTAGTTAAACGACCTCAAGAAGCAGCTTTAGATTCTCAACTTCTTGTTCAGACAGCTAGTATTGTAAATATGAAAGCAAAACGGTTAAAGCTAGGAAATTTATTATTTGATATGGATATATATATTGGAAAATTATTTTCGTTTATAAAAGATAGTAAAGATTGTCATATGAATGAAGACTCGGGACTAGATTGGATGAAAATTGGAAGATTGGCAATGTTATGTAATAAAAGACCACCTACTATAAATTTTATGTTAGGGCCTTTATCAGTTGAAAGAAAAGAGCGGAAAGTTACACGTCAAGAAAGATTTCATAAAAATAAAGAAGATCTTGTGCAGCCAGAGGAGGTATTTATTATTATTATTCTTTTTTTTTTTAAAAAATTTTTTATAGATAAAAGACGAAGATACATTGCCTCAAGATAATACAACTCCTAAAAATGTTATGAATATTAACAATTTTTTAAAGCGTTATTCTCCTATAGGATTATTTGAGTTTGTTATAAATCCGGAAAGTTTTTGTCAAACAGTAGAAAATATGTTTTACTTAAGTTTTTTAATAAGAGAAGGTAAAGCTAGCTTGATGAAAGGAAAAAACGATATATTGGTTCTTGGTATCATTTCTTTTCGCATTATCTTGTTACTAATATAAAAAGAAAGTAAAAACATATCCTCAAGTGAAGAACAAGCTCAAGGAAATAAGAAACAAGTAGTTATTTATATTGATATGAAGATTTGGAGGGTATTTTTTCTACTGTAAATGTTACCTATAATTAGTTGTTTTTAGGATGCTATTGAAGCATTGGATATAACAAAATCTATTATTTCGACTAGATAATTTTATTTATAATTCTATATTACAAATACAATATTATCAATATAAAATAAATATTTTAAGGAAAAAGACAATAAATAACTATGAATTACTAGAATATCTAGAATTATCTTTAGTTTTAATAAATTCAAGTTATATTAGTATTTAGAGCTATATTATGAATATTTTATTTATTATCATATTAGAGATTTCTTTGTAAACTATTATAGCTGTATTAATATTAATTATCTAATGAAATTAAAGCATGCTGTAGGATAAATGCAGTAACTCATCAAAAATAGATAAATTTTACTTGAAATATTTCATATTTCGATTTATTGTCTTCTATTTATAAAAAAATGCCTGTAGAAAAATCAAAAAAGAAACTTACTTAAACCACAGCAAGTTCACATAAATATGTACCAAAAAGCTTTATACCCTGAATATAATTAGATCTATTCAATTTCTCATTTACGGAATGAGGGCCATCTATAAAAATTAATGTTAATTAAATTTAACAATTAAAAATATACCATCTCCTCTTCCCATTGGCAATAAAAGAACATTTTTTTTCAAACAAGATTCCATTGTTAATACAACAGGAATACTACCTCCTTCTCGTGTAAAATCAGGAGTTACACCATATATTTTTTCAACAGCTTTTGATGCAGCTTGATAATTCCAATGTTTTACAGAAGATAACCATGCTTTGGCGCCATGATTAGATTCAATAGTAAGCACATTCTTCGACCCCAAAGTTGCAAACACTGACTCAAGGTGTTTCTTAACAAGAACTGAAACTTCATCATAATCCATGTCGGGAACCAAACGAATAGAAACCTTTCCTTTTAAACTAAATTAAAAACTCAAAATGACTGTTTTAAATATACCTAAGACTTTAGAAGGAATCACCGTTTTAATACCGGATGATGAATACGCCCCTTCAATTCCATGAATAGAAAGAGAAGGATATCTCCATCTTATTCATTAGATAAAATTAAAAAATATTTTAAATAATACCTATGCATTAAAGTACATTTTATATTGTCATAAACCAATGTTTTAGATCCTAATGAATGTTCAATATCTTCGGTGCTAATTGATATGCCTTCGTAAAGAGCTTCCTCTTCAGCTAATGAAATTAGATAAAAATACTATTATAAATGGAAATTACATGTTAAAGGCTTTACTTTATCCATGATTCCAGGAATAAGTATAGTTCCATCAGACTTTACAAGAGATGATAGCAACTAAAGAAATTAATAAAAAAAAAAATAATAATAATAAGTACATAAATAAGATCAGTCATAGGCTCATAAGTAATACCACCAAAAATTCCAGAGTGAAGATCAGCCGGTGGTCCTAAAAAATTCAGAAAAATAGAAAAATAAAAGAAGAATCTACCAGTTACAGTTATAATATAACATACTATACCCCTAAGCCCATAAGATAAACACGGTTTTTTAGTCCCAAGCCAATAATTATCACTAATGCAAATACAATCTACATCAGCAAAATATTTATCGGCTTCTTCTTGAATTAATTCATATAAACCAACTGATCCAGATTCTTCCATTCCTGAAAAAAATTAAAAAATCATACAAAAACAATTTGTAAAATACCTTCAAAACAAAAAACAAGATTTACAGGTATTTCAATACCTGCTTTTTGAAAAGCTTCGACAGCATTAAGCCATCCGATAAGGGGACCCTTATCATCAGTAGCACCCCTCCCATACATACAATCAGTTTCTTTACTATATACAAGTTTCCATGGATCTGTTTTCCAACCATCGCTAATTGAAGCAGGCTGAACATCAAAATGCCTAATATATAAGATTTATCAAAAAAAATATGAAAAACATCCCCATAAAGAAGAACAGTTTTTTTATTCTTATCACATCCATATTTCCCAAAAAGAACAGGAGGAAGATCAATTTCTTCCCCATCTATAACCTGAGTTCCCGGAAATCGTTTCTCTGTATCAATGCCAAGCTTTATCATCTCCTGATAAATAAGATCCGCTACTTTAAAGACATCCAGCCGATTTGAAGCAGTGCAACTTACTGATGGAATAGATACAAGTTTTGAAAGTCGTTCAATAAAATCTTCTTCCAAAGTATCCACACTTTCATTAATAATTTTTATATAAATCACACGCAACAACATACGTTTCAATAAACTTATCAAGAGATATCATTTTAAAGATCTAAAAGTGAAAAAACGGTATTTTTCAATATAAAAATCTAAAACGGATATTTAGCCGATTAAAAATTAAAAGTGCCGGCATACTTAATTTTTAGGTTATTAAAAATCTATCTTGCTATTTAGATATTTTAAAAAATTAAAATCATATAAAAAAATTACCTAAACGAATAAAAAATTACAAATATAAAATATAGAATAAAGACTTGTTATAAATATTAAAATTTTGGCTGCTAAATAAATTTTAAAATTCGTGTTTTATAAAATAATAATTTATCATAAAATTAAAGCCTAAATTATATTTTTTTGATGAAAAAATATTGTTTTAAATAGATTAATTTCCGTTTTTTTCTTTAATATTTTATAGCTATTTTCGTAAAAATAGATAAATAATAGATATAATTATTGAATTCGGATAATTTTCTAAAGCCAGTTTAATATTTTAAGTAACTTTTTAACTTATTTTTATATAGAATAATATTTTAAAAAATAGCCAAGTTTTTTAGAAAAATATATTAATCCTTTTGATATTTTAAAATATTTTTTAAAATGCGTATAATTATATTTGTATTGTTAAATTCTTTTTTTTATCTGGCTCGTCTTTAAAAAAACTAATTTTCTCTTTAAGTTTCAACACATTTTATTTACCTTGTTTTAATCTAATTATTCCATAAAAAAATCAGCATGAAAAATTCACTTTTAACCATTTATTTAAGCAATTTTAGAATAGATTTTATATAAATATATTTCTAAATTTACTTTTCATATAGTACTCTTAAATGCATAAATCAATATTATTTATTAAGATTAATTTCATAAGCCTTAAATTCATATTTTTTAAAAAAGATTTCTTAAAAATATTAAAAGCTTAGTAGAATGTCTTTTATTTTAACGAAAGATATCATTATTTTTATACTTAACCTTATTGAAAAAGAGAAAATATCTTCCGAAATAATATTCAAATGAAAATCTAAAGTTTTAGTTATTTAACCAATCAAGTTTAAAAATTTACATATGACTGAAACAAATACGGCACCTACACGATCTAAATTATCTCTAAAAGGATCATCTAAAATTGTTAGTGAATTCTTTGGTTGATATAATTATATTTTATTAAGTTTATATCTAATTTTATATTCTAGAATACAGTATTAATAGGTAATAATTTATCTTAATTATAATAATTTTTTTAAAAAATAAGTATACTATATCAAAGAGGAGTATATCCAGCAGATGATTTTAAAATGGTTAAAAAATATGGACTTAATATGCTAGTAACTACAGATATTCAAGTAAAAGCATATATACGAAAGATAATGGGACAACTTCATAGTAATTCTTTTTTTTTGTAAAAAAGAATGTCTAATATTATAAAGAATGGATAGAAGAAGGGAAGATATCAAAATTAGTGATAGCCATTGTTTCAAAAGATACATTAGAAGTTTTAGAACGTTGGCAATTTGATGTTGAAATATTCAAAGATTATAATGCGGAAAACAAAAAGAAATTATTGTACTAAAAATATAAAAAATGATTTATTTTTAATATATATAGAACTAAGAAAAATGACAATAATGTAGAAAAATCGGAGAAAGAGATTCATACAGAAATTCAAGCGATTATTCGGCAAATTACGGCATCTGTAACGTTTCTTCCACAACTTGAGGGGAGATGTACATTTAATGTTTTAGTATATACAGATTGTAATTCAGAAGTTCCAGATGAATGGGGCGACAGTGATGCACGTGAAATTAATAATGCAGAACAAGTAAAATTACGAAGTTTTAGCACTGATATACATAAAGTGGATTTACAAGTAGCATATAAATTAACAGATGATTAACCTGTATATACATTTATTTAATTTTTTAAAGTGGGAATTAATATAAATATTAAATTAAATATATAATTTGAAACCGTTATTCTATGTATATTTTTTCAAAAATTTTTGAAATACCTTTAAAATTTAGTGTAAGAAACATAATTAAAAATACATACAGTATGATCGACAATAACATTACCAATTTTTTTTAATTTTTTTTTACCCTTTTTTTGTTTAGATAAAAGCTTCATTTTGCGACTAATTAGTATTAAAATTCTAGATGGAGATAATTTATTATTTTATACGTAACATCTCCTCCATAACTTTTATAGTTAACGAAAAAAATAAAATAAACAGTATTACAAACCATTTAGCTGTTACAGCCTTTTTTAACGGCCTTATTGTTTCGCGAGCTATAACTCTATTTTCTACCACTGCTTGTATTATCACCTATATTTTTTAATCCTTTTCAAAATTAATAAATTTAGTAAACCTCAAATAACTGCTGTTTAATTAAAGATTTCAAATGTCTTACAAACTCTTTCCCTTTTATGTTTACTTGACTTCTATGTAATACTGTAGAAAGTGCATCAATGGGATTACCATTGATTAAAAGCTAATAACGTTAAATAATGATTTAAGATAAAACGATATAAATAAAACCTTTATTTTAACTAAATCGGATATTTTATAGCCAATAATTCTATAATCCAATGTAGCATATCTATATAAAATAAATATTACTTAAAATAATAGATAATATTACCCTTTTGTAAGACTTTTAAGTTTTTCAAAAAAGTTATCAATTAACAAAACCATAGGAATATCATATTTTAGAATGCAATTTTCTTCAGAAGGAAATATAATTTCCTTTCGAACACCTCTATTATTCTAGTAATATCAATATATAATAATTAAAAATTTGCAAATATACTTCACATAATTCAATAACATGTCCCAAATATTCAAACGGAAACACCATGGTAACTTCCGCTACAGGCTCTTCTAAATTCAAAACGTCACGTTTTATATCTATGATATCAGGAAATAACGACGGATTTGAAATCATTTTTTCTTTTCCATTTTTATATATCAATTTAAAAGGAACAGTAGGAGATGTAACAATTATCTAAATATTACATTAAATCTTTATTAATAAAATCATCATACTTCTTCATTATATTCGTTTTTTAATCTATCTTTAAATACAGATAGATGAAGAGTTCCCACAAATCCAATGCGCCAGCCTAATATTAAATTAAAATGTAATTCAATAATTTTTAAAATAAAACCTTGGCCCAACGCACTAGATGACTCTTTCTCAACAAATATAGACCTATCATTCAACAGTAAATGCTTGATACTTTCATTTAATTTTTGAAAATTATTTGCATCTACAGGAAAGGCCCCAACAAATATCTATTCATCAAAATTAACATTTTAAAATATTCTAAAGAAAAGTCACACGGTAGGCTTAAGCTCCTTGAATTTAGGTAAAGGGTTAACATCTTTACCCACATGATAAAATGTATCCCCTATATAAAATTCCTCACTATTCTTCATACCCAATATAACATAACCAACTTGTCCAGCCTTAAGTAATTCTGTAGAAACCCTATCAGGATACATTATTCCAACCTCTGCAACATTATACTTTAAACTAGTACAAATACTTTGAATTTTATCTCCTTTACGCAAACAACCATCATAAATCTTAACTAAAACAATAACTCCATCAAAATGATCATACCTATCATTATACATAAGTAACTTCAAATTATATTCAAATAATAAAAATTACCAACTATCTATAAGAAAACATTTCAAATCATTCATTAAAGATCCTTTAGGCCTTTGAAAGTCAAAGAAAAACACAAAAGCTAACAAAAATATACGGAGGTATTTTATCAATAATATAAGGAATAATTTTTTCTGTACCCGTTCCTTTTTTTGCTGAAACGAGAATAACATCTTCTGGAACTATATTGAATGTTTGTTTTAATTGATTTAAAATTTTCTCTGGCTCTAAAAATTATAGATAATTAATATCACAATTAATATTTACCTGAATTAGGCATATCAATTTTATTTAATACAGGTAAAATAACTAGCCCCCTAGATAACGCAAGTTGGTAATTAGCGACCTAAATAAACTATTAAAAATAAAAAAATGACTCAATAAACAAACCGTTTGAGATTGAATACCTTGACAGGCATCAACAAGTAATAAACATCCATCACATATTGCTAAACTATGATTGACTTCTGCTCTAAAATCAACATGTCCAGGCGTATCAATTAAATTAAGAAGATATGTTTCCTCCTTATAATCATATAACATACTACATACTTGTGCCTTAACAGTAATTCCTTATATATATTATAATTCCTCTCCGTAAATAAAATACCCTAAAAATACCTCTTTCTCGTTCAACTTTTAATTTATCCAAAACTTGCCGATTTTTCCCTGATTCTGATATTGTCCCTGTAATTTCCAACAACCTATCACTTACTTATATCATCAATTAACCCTTTTATTTGTTATATAACAAAAATAAATTACATGTTGATTTTCCATGATTTATATGTGCAATAATTGCCCAATTTCTTATGCTTTATTTTTTAGCCCAATAATTCATAAAAAAACCATTTCAATACTTTAAACACTCAATATTCCTTATCTTTTTTACAATATCTTTGTCCTTTTCATAACTCGTTCCTATGTTTTTACCTATTTCTATTAAAATATTCCTTTAAAAACAAAGATTAAGTAAAATACGAAAAATATAATAAGTATTAGCATTATTAAATCTTAAACAATATAAATATCCCTTATTAATCTTATGTTTTTCAACAAAAAATAGCCTTTTCATCCATTCAATATAATACTGGACGTTTATCGGAGATGCTGACAGTCTTTTCTAAAATTATATTAGGAAAAACATAAAATATTAAGATAAAAATTTAAGAAATTTCTTAAAATAAACAAGAATAATAAGGATTTTACTTAAAAAACTATACAAAAAGGACTTTCTTAAGATGACTGCTCGTAAACTACAAGCCGAAGTAGATAAAACATTAAAAAAAGTAGAAAGTAATAATAAAAATTAAATATCTAAAAATATTCAGGTTACTGAAGGAGTAGCGGCATTTGAAAGTATTTATGAAAAAATGCAGTCAGCAAGTAATCAGTCTCAA